TGTTTTGCTTAATGTTGAGTAGTTTGACCTATGAATTTGGATCTGAAACATGACACTTCACATTTACCTTTAAAATAAGAAAAAGTCAGGGCCTAGACTATCTTCTTAATACATTTTGAGGCGGTTTGGTCTAGTCCAAAATACCTCACTTTGCCCTCCTAAATGCATTTTAAGCAAACTCATACACTCTTGATACTTTTGAAGGGCCTCCACTGTTTTTAATGTACTGTACCTGACATTTATGCTTCCTTTTTTAATCAAATTCTCAATATCCTTTGACATCAAGGGTTCCCTGGACTTGCTGCTCTCGCTGTTTACTCTTTGAGGAGCACACTGGCCCTGAACCCTCATGATACTACTTTTAAAAGACTTCCACTTACCAAATGTAAGTTTACCTGCAAGTAGCTACTCCCCCAGTCTATGTTTATCAGATCCTGTCTGATGCTATCAAGGATAAGGCATTCATGATAGCTTCCAGTACGCCTGGCACAGACTTCTAAGTTTTGGTACCAATGATTGCAGATGAATTGTACAGTGATAAAATTGAATAATTTTCAGTCGATGAAGTCTGCAACATTCTGATATCATGCTCTCAACACAACGTGTGCAGTCACTAGCACATGTCACCTGCACCTCTGGGAAGTCCACTATATTGGTAAACTCACTGTGTGGACTGCAGCAATGACTTTGTCATGGGGAATTGAGATGAATCGCTGTGATCTGGCATTAATTACATCAGTAACAATTTTGATGTATTTGAGTTGAGGATTGAGAGATCCCACACGGGTCTGAAATGGATCCTTGGAAGCAGCAGTTGCATAAGAAAATCAGCATGGCTGTCACCTTGATGGCCACTGGGATTGATGGCCTCTCACTCTTTAAGGTTTCAAGTTCCCCTTCAGCAGATGGCATCATTCTGTGATGGTATCCAGGGACATCTGCAGGCTATGATGACAATGCATTTCACTCATCTGAAGGAAACAAACAATAGATCTGGGAATCCTGTACCTACACTATGCCCTGAGAGCACCTTCTGATGCAACTTTTTTTTAGGTGGAAGCTGTTGGCAGCCACTGGAGATTCGTGTTATTTCAGGGCTTTCGGCACAATTATTCCTCCGTAATTTCTCTGTGCCTTTGCAGCACAGAGTACAATACTGAAGTGGAGAGCTGTATTGTATGTGGATCAGAGATGTGTCATGATGATGCTGCGGTGAGACTGGTGTGTGACTGATACCAGCCTGCATGGGCAGAGGGTGCAGGCAATCACTGCACATGGAAAGTGTCCCGAAATGCTGGAGACTGTTGTCAAGAAGGGGGCCAGAAAAGCAAGAAGTGAGTTGGAGCAATGGGTACACGTTCTGACTTTTATCTCAGGAATTGTCACCATGTAATTTCTCTTCACTGCATGAGAGAATAGCAAATTTCAAATAAATGGACGATATTAGGCACAAAGAGACATGTATAGGCCTCTCACGGCTCACTGGTGAGATTCTCATCTTGCTGCTTAAGCCTTGAGTGGAAAATCAGACTCCAAAGTTCAAGGATATCATTTTTATGAACTTACTATATTTTCCCAACTGGCTCATCATTGCAAAATCATTTAGGTACTAGAAAAATTCAGCACATAGTTTCTAATTTGTGGCAGCTCTAGTCTGATTTCATCCTTCTGCTCACTTATGAAATAAAATTGGACCTTCGATAACAGAGTAATGTGATTTCTGTCTGCAAATTGCTTTCTGACCTCCTTGCTAATTGTCTTCACCATTATTCCCTCCTCCCCTTGTCTCCTGAAAGTATTGATTTCTAATTGGAGTCAGGTATTCCCAAACATAGGTCGGTATTTTGAGTTTCAGTGGCAGGCAATTCATTGCGCTTTGTTATGAAATTGATTCAAATCATAATAGACTGCAGAATGCCTTATGGTTTTTGAGAACATGAACACATTGCGCTATTACATTTTTAGAGCATTAAGGGTACCACAACATTAATGTGTATATAGGTTATTAAATTCTGGGCAAAAAATAAGGCTATGTGAACTACGTGCCAATTGATACTTTTCCCAAGAGTAGAGTTCACATTGAGGTGTGGTCTGTGTTCAGTGTTAGCCTGAGTAATCTCCAGTTTGTTTTTAATCTTTTTCTGGAAATTGCTTTTTTTTGCTGTTGACCCACTTAAGATCAAGCGACATTCTTTACTTCCATGACTTGCCAAAAGTAATCTCCATTTTTAAAATCTCCAACAAAATTATGATCTAATAGATTGAGCACACGAAAGCTCATTTTCAGAGAGGTGTTATAAAGTAATTGATAATTAATGCATTTTAATAATTAATTAATACTTAACGATGAAGAAGCCCGAACAATTTTTGATGTGCTTTGTGGGAATTTCATATGATGAGTCTCTCACTGAGAGACCATTATTGCAAAGCTTCCTGATTGACAGGTCAACTCTGATTCCAACGTCCCAATTCCTGAATTTACTGCTGCATGTGCAGTCAATAAAACTTGTCATCCAAGTCACTTTTCAATGAAGCACAATTGTTTCCATTCTATTGCTACATTATCATATTATTATTATGATTATTTCCGTTATAATATTAAGCTATCATGTTTCACCTTTGGAAACCATTTTATAAACTTGTTTTAACAGGAAGAATATAATACAAGCGATGATTCATGTTTCTTTCAAAGTTCAAAGAAAGCTGACATCCAACTGTATGCTGTAGAAATTGCTTCCTTTTGGAAAACCCATTATTATTGATTGGCATGACGTTGATTTAAACTGACAAGGTTATCTTCCATCAACAGCAAGTGAGAATCTGAGAGAGTCTTAGAGGTATTAATTTATCCAGGTGGTAAAGACAGTCAGGTGGAGTTTAAATGAGCTGAAAATTCACTACTGCCCATTGTGGCCAAGACACGTTTATGCCCCTAAGTCTAATAGACTTGATACTGGAATTTAGACATTTGAGAATAAAGTACCATTTACAAAGCACATGCTCTGTTTAATTTGGATTCATAAAGTGAAATCTTGTAGCTTAGGGCAGGTATCATTGTAACTGACCCAACACTGTGCCCAATTCGTCATACTTATAATACTGTTGTCAGATGCAAATGGAAGAAAAAGCTCTGTCTCCATCATTGAGAACCTGAGGTTACAAAAGATATTTTTATAAGAAACAAGTTAATTTATACTGAAGGCTATGAAGTATAAAGTAATTACTTGGAAAAGGACACCCAAATTATTGTTGAATTACTCATCCATATCACAAGTGTGTGAGGATTTAATTGAATGAAAGAGCTATAAAAAGCTTGTGCAAACAACCACTAAGTATTTTGAGCTACTCTTATTGTGACACTTTTTATTGGTTCAGTTACTGTTAAAAAAAACTTACAGGACTGAGTTTAAATAATTAACTGTGAAGCCTCAAGTAATTGTCATAACTGAGGGTTATCTGGTGGAGTGAAGACCAGTACAATATAAATAACAAAAGAAGCATCTCACATTTCTGTTCATTTCAGAAAGCAGGACAGTAAAAATTGAGATATTGCATCAGGCTGTGAGCCTCAAGAAGTCTAATGGATAATACTGCAGTGTTCAAACTGTAAACAGTCAAATAAAAGATACTATGTAGATCTGAAGTGAACTCTTTCTTGGCCAAAATTGTAGATTTTATAAATGGAACTGTTCTTTCCAGAGAATGCATAAGATCCTGTCTAATGACATTGGGTCATTAATTGGTTTAAGATGGGCCTTCTTCCTTCATCAAGAGAGGAATCCAAATTTTGAGAGCTGCCAACCAATTAAATGACTGGCAGCTTTGTGGTCTAAACTACACCAACATGAGTAGTGGCCAGTGCTAGGATTGCAGCCAGCTCCAAGGAAGGTATTCAGCGATGGACTCTGAAATTTAAGGTAAATTCAGAGTTACAACACAGTCAACTTGGCTGGACCCTGCAGCAAGCATAAGGGACTTGGCTGGTGAGGACAGGTGGGGAGAGGAGATGTTCAAGTCGGGAATGATCTTGGGGGTGTACATTCAATGGACATAAGGGACCTATAAAGGAACCCTAAGAGCAATCCTGAGCTCAAACAGTGAAACCTACTGAGTTGGATGCTTCTATTATACAACATACAATTTTACTTCAAACAAAATGAAACTAAAATATTTTAGACAGATGATGTCTTTACCACAGAGCTCTTAGCTGATCTATGAGTTTAGCTGCCGTAATAGACACAGTATGCACGGAGCTAAAGAGGTTAAAACAGCTTGGACTCTCAAGAATGCACAAGATATAGGAGCAGCAGTAGACCATATGGCCCATTGAATCCTGTCTGCCATTTGTGGCTGATCTTGGGCTTCAACTTAATTTCCTGCCTGCTCCCCATATCCCTAGATTCCCTGTTCACCAAGGAACTACATCTAAGCATGAGTCAATGCATTGTTCTGTGGTTTAATTATTTTGCGTTTGGTTAGTGTTGTCTGAGTACTGAGCCTCTTATACTTGCTTGACTGCAAAAAATCTGTTGGAGCTCGAGCCTCGTGACTGACTCCACGTAGAGAGGTCCAGAAAGGAACTAGTATCCAACAAAGACCACATCTGTATGGAAACTTCTGGAAATTCTGAGATGTTCCAATTTCTATAAATAAATAATTTAGGAATCAGAACTAGAGTCATCTCTGTATTGCACTGTGATAAATCAGCTAAATAAGTTATGCGGACAACTTGGCAAAAATGTAACAGTCAGTAATATCAGCAGGGGCAGTGAATTGTTCCATAAGATGCACCATGGATATTTTAAAAATAACAAGTTAAAGCACATAATGGATAGAGGTAAGACAGCTGACAGTCCTGAGCTAATTTTAGAACTGAAAGGAAAATTCCTTTGTCAGTGCTATATGTACACCATGCTAGCAGAAGAAAAATATTACTGTCTTGGAACCTAAAACATTCATTTTTAAGAGCAGCTGCCTCATATTTCATTTTTTCTTTCCAGATGGTTTAACAGACTGTATGGACCCAGACTGTTGCAAGCAAACAATTTGTTACACTGGTCAGCTTTGTCAAGGATCGCCTGACCCTCTTGACCTGATCCAACAAAGTCAATTGCCTTTTCCCCTCCATCCCCCAAGACGCTTCTATGATAGAATAAAATTCCTGGTTGGGAAAGACAACACACATGTACTCCCCACTGACGGTCTCTTTGACAACAGGTAATTTTTTTAAAAAATCAGTCCAATATTTTTTGCATTTGTCTTTTTGAACTCAAGGTATTATTCAAAAATATAAGATTGGGCATTTAGAATAAAAATGTAATCAATATTAGGAACAGGAAATAGGCTATAGGCTGTTTGGCTCAAAAGACATATTTTATATTTTGACAAGCAAAACTAACCAACTGACTTTTCATCCTGTTCATTCATCCTTTATATTCTACCAGTTACTATATTAAACTGTTGAAACCAATTGGTTTAGTGAAGAGTTTGCATGAATTGCTTTCTAAGATAAACATGACCAATTTTTTCATTCATCAAAGCTGAACTGTGATTGAATGAAGTTGAAAAAATGTTGTCAATTTGAAATTACTGATAATTTTTTATTGTTTAAGATATTCAGATTAAATTTACTTGAACTATATCTGAATGAAAGTTCAAACTGCAAGAAAAAAACTTGAAGCAAAAAGGTGAACAAATTAGTTTTGTTTTTCTTGGCTTTAATGCCGGATGGTACGATGGGATGCTAACACATTGAAAATTACGAGGCAGCTCTGATTGTCCTGTTCCTGCTGGCATTTAGGTTGCTATCATTTTCATGGAGTATTTGATATAAGCAGCATGTTTTTGGCAGACATCTCATTAACCCATGCACATCAGAGTCACTTGGCATTTCTACAATGTTGATACAATTTTTAAACATCCGTGGATGGAAAGTGTGCTAAGCCATGGCAATTGCTCAGTATGCTAACCAGCAATGCCTGAAGGGATTTCTGCAGACCTCCACTTAAAGAGAAGTAAAGGTTCTAAAATTATTTTTGTGGAACAATGGGGTTGTTTTGCAGCCCTCCCTTGGTATTACATGCCTCCTGGCACCACCTCCACCTCCAGCTTCTCAACATATCCAGACTCTCCAACCACCTCACATTAACATATCTATACTCAGAAACAAGAACAGAAGTTGCTGGAAAAGCTCAGTGGGCCCAGCAGCATCTGTGAAGGGAAATCAGAGTTAACGTTTTGTATCTGGTGATCCTTCCTCAGAAAATATCTATACTGTCTAGGCTCAGTGATGAATTTATCTGATCTCCTTGATCACTGAGCTGCTTGAAGTGCACCTTCAGTTCTCCACTACAATGTTAATCAATGTTAACGGGGCCCTGACGATGAGAATTAGTTTGTAATCTCACTGTTGTCATTGTTGTTCCATGGTGCATCATTGCCTATGTTTTATTATGTTAATTAATGCTAACTAATCACCCAAGAGACTGGCTATGGCAAGGCAAGATCCAGTATGTTTTTGAGGTGGAGGGGTATTAGACGACAGGTGACAATGCCACCAAAAATGCTATTACATTTCAGAAAGTATCTTTGAAAGTCATGAATGTTGCCCTTAAATTTATGCTACAATTATTAACGCATACATCCACAAATATAACGGTCCTGCTGTTCCAATCAGGCTCAGAAAAGGGCCTCTGATCCTGATTTGACAAAAAAGAATACACATTTATGTTTTAGCGGAGGTCTCCTTGCAAATATACGGGCCAGGAGTTTCCCATTAACAAAGGGAAGCATAGGTATCGTGGTAATGTCACTGGACTAATAATCCATAACACCAGGTTAGTTTTCTGGGTTCATGGGTGGTGAAATTTAAATTAAATTTAAAGGAAACTGAAATAAAGAAAACTGGCCTAACAGTGACCATGTAATCACTGTTGATTGTTATTGCAACCTATCTGGTTCACTAATATTGTTTAGAGAAGGAAATAGGCTATTCTTATTTGCTCTGGCCTCTGTGACACTATGGTTAACTCTTAATTGCCCTCTGGGCAAAAAGGGATGGATAATAAATGCTGGCCTGGTAGCAATAACCACATCCCATTAATGAATGAAAGAATCAACAGTAATAATGTCACAATCATATGTACTTTCATGTATCTACATTGTAAATGGTGCAACTAAACTATCGTGATTCTAATCTACAATCAAGAACCAGAGCTAATATATTTTCCCTTAAGCCAGAGCCTGCAAGCAACATTTCCACTAGGACTGCCTCAAATAAATTAATCCACCTAGAATGATGTCAAAGCTGTATTTTAACCATGGGCTTCAGAAGATATAACCTAATCAAGCTTCTACATGAACTATTTATTAAATTGATATCTTTTGTGATTTTTCTCTTTCTCTTCAGTACAGTACACCTTCAAGTTTTCAATTGCCACAAGATAAGTTCCTACAAAGAACATCCTTCAGTCCATTTAATCTTTCCTTTCCAGAAAAAAAATCTATTTTGGTCTATAAAGGACAGTCCTTACCATTACCTTAAATGGAAACACAAAACGTAGAAAATAGCATGAGATCAGTGTGACCGGGAAACAGGCTCAGTAAAATGTATCACCTTCATGCTATTAGTTTCAAAACCTTGAAACTGATGTTAATCTCAAAACCTGGATTCCCCGAGGCAGTTGAAATATATAGCTAGTAATGATTATAGGATGACTAGTTTTAAAATCCCCCATTACTTCTCTATTATTTTCAGCCCAAATAAAATGAATATTAGTGAAATAATATTTATCACATATATGGCCTTTTTAATCAAAAAACTTTTTCACTGTTTCATCATTTTCAATGGCATTTGGTAAAATTGACTCTAGTAGTGCATTTGTTATTCCTAATGGAAGACAAACAGTACAAGGCCCTCTGTATACTGAATTTTCTCCACAATTTATCGTAGAATAAAAATCTTCTCCAACCAACAGATATTTTTAAAGGCAGTTTCACTTTGTAAATTTGAAAGAAGCATGTGAAGAGGAAGTTAAAATTGACTGAGTTACTTACTGCCAGCAAACGGTCACATCCTTCATCATCTGCAACTGTTACCTACTCTCCTGGGCAGGTGGCGAGAGTGCCACTCAAACCTCATTCTTACAGGTACATGTTGGGTCCCACCAATAATGATATGACAGGTGGGAAATGCGCTAATAGTCCGGCTGCATGCCAAATGATGGTCTTGGCAGAGTAGAGGAGCTACTCCTCCCTTTAGAATCACTTCCCCTGAATAATCGGCCTGTATTTTACAGCTGCTCACAGTAGGATTACAGGCGTCCTCCCACTGCAGTTGGGATAGTTCCTGAAGCAAGATTGGCCCATGCCATGAATCCTGGCCACCCAGAAAAAACTGGTAGCTGAGCCAGAGACGGGTAAAATTTAGCCCATTATTTCTTTCTTGCTGATCTGGCAACTTGTTAGCATCTGAATATTAGCAACTGCACTGCTAACTGATTGCATTTCTTTTAGGTTCAGTAATATTGATAATAGGATCGGATGTACAGTTCCTTTGGCTAAATTATTGTTTGAATTTTATCTGTATGCAAGTTAATTTAAATAAAACATATTGGATCATGTTGAACTACCTATTGACATGAAATGCCTGTCAACATATTGTTGTGGCATATTATATAGTAGCCTTCTGTAAAGCAATAATGGTGTCCCTGAGTTAAATGCTCTGTCTAAGCTGCTCTCACTTCAGCTTGACATTGCACCATTATCATTGAAGAGCATTCCTTACAGCACCGAGGAGATTTTTCCATTTCATAAACTCCAAACCTTTTGACCTGATTTTAATTGCTAAACTTGTGTTTACTGTGTCAAACTTCAGAAGATTTAAGTTGCAGGCTAGGTTAATTTGAAGGTCAGTCAAAATGATTGTAAAATATTTTATTTTGGAACTTGAACGCAAACGGGACCATGTAGCAATCATAACTTTTACCCTGAATTTTGTGCTCATTGAGATAATAGATGCTTGAGTGCTTAAATGACATTGAGTACTCCAAGATCAACAGTAGACACAGAGTAAAGTTCCATCACAATATGTCCAAATCTTTGTCTCAGAATATTGCCCTCCACAATGAAAATTCTCTGGAACACTGTAAAGTTAACACAGATTTGTGCTGCAGACTCATACCTCTTAGGAACCAAATTAAGATTGTTCACATTTATTTTGCTTAAAACATTTAAAAGCAGTTGATAGAGGATACTTTCAAGCTATACATTTGGATTGCATTCAAACAATCATTCCCAAGGTGATAAAACTAATCAATGACTAATCTACAACCTACAATATGGTTAATTGTTACAATCTATTGATCATATAATTCATGAATTTTATAACATTATAATAAATAGAGATATTTATGGAAGGATTATCATATTTATTGTCATTTCCTGATGGTATTGGATTTGGAGACATGAGTTTGAAATGATAATAGTTCTCGAGTACAAATACTATCATGTCAACTGTCTACAAATGCAAGGGAAACAAGACCCTGCATTTATGACAGACCTTTCACAACCTCAGAACATCACAAAGCGCTTCATAACTAATAAGGTATTTTAAAGTATAATCACTTGGTCATGAACAGAAATCTACATCTCCAATTGCACAAAAAAGGGCCCAACAAACAGCAATGCATTAAATAATTAGATATCTTCTTCACATTTTTTGTTACAGGACAAATGTGGAGACCACATGGACTAGGAAACTGGGAGAAATAATTGCTGTGGGAGCAGTTATGGCCATTTGAGTGGATAAACAAGGCTGCACTTTAAAATCTCATAGGAAAAATAGGGCCATAAGAACAGGAGTAACATATTTGGCCCCATAAGTCCCAACTTCCAATCAAATCATTGCTAATCTACAACCTGAATTCATGTGCCTTTACCTTTGGTCCAAATCCCTTACAGTGTTCATTAGTCAAATAAAGCCAATCTCAATTTTGAAATTAATGATTGATCCAGGATCAGTTGCTATTTACAGAGGTGGACCTCAGACTTTTATTACCCTTTGCTTTTAGAAGTGTTTCTTAATTTAGACTTGCCTTCTGGCAGAAATAGTTTCGATACATGTCTGAGTGGAGTTTGCACATTCTCCCTGTGTCTGCGTGGGTTTCCTCTGGGTGCTCTGGTTTCCTCCCACAGTCCAAAGACGTGCAGGTTAAGTGGATCTGCCATGCTAAATTTCCCATAGTGTCCAGGGATGTGCAGGCTTTTAGTTGTTCATTTCTGTCAATTAGAGTCTTTGCACGTTAGGAGTAGAAACTATTGCTATACACGTTCAATTCTCTATTCAATAGTTCCAATCAGATCGCCTGTCATTTGACCCCTTTTAGAAGATTTTGACATTTTGTCAAGGACAGTCTTTGTCTTTTCCCAGTGAAGTCAACCTGATATAAATCAAGGATCATATTTGCTATTTCATACTCTCCCTTTCAAATATTACTTTGAACTCAATTGTGTGATAATTATGCAAAAATAGTTTCTTTGATTGCTTTGAGAGACACAGTGATGCAAACAAGACTGATACTTGGAGTCCTATGGCCCCTCAGAAGGTAGTGTGAACCTTGAAATTCTGCAGGTGTAGAGGGGAGATGGTGGCCTGGTGGTATTTTCACTGGACTGTTCATCCAGGTAATGTTCTTGTGATCCTGGTTCGAATCCTGTAACAGCAGATGGCAGAAGTTGAATTCAACAAAAAATCTAAACTTAAGAGTCTAACAATTTTCAATAAAAAGTGTGGAATTAAGAATATAATGATTACTATGATTTTTAATCCATTCTGTGGGATGTGGGCGTCGTTGGCAGGCCAGCATTTATTGCCCATCCCTAGATGCTCTTGAGAAAGTGGTGGTGAGCTGCCTTCTTGAACTGCTGCAGTCCACATGCTGTGGGTTGACCCACAATGCCCTTAGGGAGGGAATTCCAGGATTTGGACCCAGTGACAGTGAAGGAATGACGATATATTTCCATGTCAGGATAGTGAGTGGCTTGGAGGGGAATTTGAAGGAGGTGGTGTTCCCATATGTCTGCTGCCCTTGTCCTTCTAGATGGAAGTGGTCGTGGGTTTGGAAGGTGCTGTCTGAGGATCTTTGGTGAATTTCTGCAGTGCATCTTGTAGATAGTATACACTGCTGCTACTGAGCGTCGGTGGTGGAGGAGTGAATGCTTGTAGATGCAGTGCCAATCAAGCGGGCTGCTTTGTCCTGGATGGTGTCAAGCTTCATGAGTGTTGTTGGGGCCGCACTCATCCAGGCGAGTGGGGAATATTCCATCACATTCCTAACTTGTGCCTTGTAGATGGTGGACAGGCTTTCAGGAGTCAGGAAGTGAGTTCCTCTTCGCAGTATTCCTAGCCTCTAACCTGCTCTTGTAGCCACTGCATTTATGTAGTGAGTCCAGTTGAGTTTCTGATCAATGATAAATACCAGGATGTTGACAGTGGGGGATTCAGTTACGGTAACACTATTGAATGTCAAGGGGCAGTAGTTAGATTGTCTCTTATTTGTGATGGTCATAGGTTGGCATTTGTGTGTCGCTCTTACCGATACTCTCATGGACAGATGCAACTGCAGCTAGCAAATTGGTAAGGATGAGGTCAAGTATGTTGTTCCCTCTTGTTGATTCCCCCACCACCTTGCCGCAGACCCAGTCTAGGAGCTATGTCCTTCCGGACCCAACCAGCTCAATCAGTAGTACTGTTGCTGAGCAACTCTTGGTGGTGGACACTGAAATCCCCCACCCAGAGTACATTTAGTGCCCTTGCCATTCTCAGTGCCTCCTCTAAGTATTGCTCAACATGAAGGAGTACCGATTCATCAGCTGAGGGAGGACGGTACTTGATAATCAGCAGGAGGTTTCCTTGCCCATATTTAACCTGAAACCATGAGACTTCATGAGGTCCTGAGTCAGTGTTGAGGACTCCTAGAGCAACTCCCTCCCGACTGTATACCACTGTGCCGCCATCTCTGCTGGGTCTGTCCTGCCGGTGAGACAGGACATATCCAGGGATGGTGATGGTGGTGTCTGGAACATTGTCTGTAAGGTATAATTCCGTGAGTAGGATTATGTCAGGCTATTGCTTGACTAGTCTGTGAGACAGCTCTTACAGTTTTGGCACTAGCCCCCAGATGTTAATGAGGAGGAATTTGCAGGGTCAACAGGGCTGTTTTTGCTGTCATTTTTTCTGGTGCCTAGGTCGATGCCTGTTGCCAGTTATCAGAAAAATCCACCTGGTTCACTAATGTCCTTCAGGAAATGGAACTACTATCCTTACCTGTTCTGAATCCGGACCCATAGAAATGTGGTTGACTCTTAACTGCCGTATGCACAACTAGACATAGGTAATAAATGCTGGACCTGCCATTAATACCCTCATCCATGAATGAATAAAAAAATTACTCAGAGTGCTGTTCGGAAGGAGGTTGAAAGATTTTGATTCACAAATAGTGAAGGAACAATGATACAATTTGAGGTCAGATGGTGTGTGGCTTGGAGGGGAGCTTGTAAATGACCAGCCATTATCCTTCTAGGTGGTTGAGGTCACAGGTTTGGAGGTTAGAGTTGAGGAGTCTTGGTGAATTACTGCAATGCCATTGTATGCTGATGCTGGAGTGAGCCAATGTTGGAAGGTGGCGAATGGGCCATTAATCAAGCGGAGTGCTTCATCTTATACCATTAGATATCGGAGCCAAATCAGGCCATTCAGCCTAATAAGTCTGCCCTATCATTCGATCTCAGCTGATACATTTCATAGAATCCCTAAAGTGTGAAAGCAGGCCATTCAGCCCATCAAGTCCACACTAACCCTATGAAGAGCAGCCTACCTGAACCAACTCCCCCTGTAACCCTGCATTTAGCATGGCTAATCCACTCACCCTGTACATCCCTGGACACTATGGACAATTTAGCATGGCCAATCCACCCTAACCTGCACATCTTTAGATCGTGGGAGGAAACTGCAGCACCCAAAGGGGACCCATGCAGACAGGGAGAGAATGTGCAAACTCCACACAGACAGTCACCCAAGGCTGGAATCGAGCCCAAGTCCCTGGCACTGTTACGCAGCAGTGCTAACAACTGAGCCACTGTGTCACCCCATCTATTAAACTGATACCCCCCAAAATATCAGTGACATCCCGCTATACCTCAGTTAGCCCACTAAACTCCTTTTGAATCCCCAACATCTCCCACCCATTCCCCCAACCACCATCCCCCAACTTCTGATTCCTTCACTGAATCCCCGGGAGGACCCAAAACCCTCAATGGACTTGACCACTCTGTAAGCTTCACCACCCCAGCACCCTGCTCACCCACACTCTGGGTGCTCAAACAGAAGTGATCCACTCTTCAGTATAAACCTCCTCAACTTGATAAGCATAGCACTTCATACAAAAGTCTTGACTAAGCAGTAGCTCTTTGAATTTTTGTCTAAATGAATAACTTGAGGAGACTTTCGCAGTTAAAAGCGGCAGCAACTTTGAGTCTGCAGTAATATAAGTAGTAAAAATTCATAACAAATTACAAATGTGTAATTGTAATATCATTATTTAAAGAAGATTACATACTTTAAATAGTCACTAAAGATCGAGATAGAATTTTTACCCTCATTGCTATTTCTGCTGCTTCAGTTTGGGTCGACTGTTTTAAAAGAACATTGTAATTCCATTCGCAAGTTGCTCCTGATAAGTTAAAAGCCTGTAACAGAGCAAAACACAATCAATCTAACCTCATTTAACCTGATTGAGATAAGTAGGAAAATGATATGCATTAGACTCAATAGAGTACGACATTGAAACAAACCATTTGTTTGTCTTTGTTTAGTTTGTAATCCAGAGATGATTTACCAGAATTAGAGTTATGTGCAGCCATATCAGCTTTCTTTGCTGGCTTATTGCATGAAATAATTGCAAATATTGATCATCTTTTTCATATATTTATCTGCACGTTGTCTCATTCCAGCCGTGTGTGTGTCATTCGAGGACAGGTGGTTGCAGTGGATGAGACCCCGCTGGTTGGTGTGAACATCAGCTTTCTGCACCATGTTGACTATGGATACACGATTAGCCGCCAGGATGGCAGGTGCAGAAGAATGCTTTTCTCTATTCCCTCAGACCCACTTGTCACCAGATAAATCCTGAGTCAAATTTGTTTGATAATTGAACAAATAAGAAGGCAGGATGCTCATCAATGAGACATGAAAAATGAGACTGAGACAGAAGGCTTATTGATTAATGAGAAATATAACTGAATCTTTCGCAGTAAATCTGGAACAATGATAGATAATGCAATAAACACCAAAATGCTGGTTAAAATTAACAGGTCGCACACAGTCCTTGGAGACACAAATAGTGTTAACTTTTCAAAACAATGACTTGTCATCTTCCTGACCTTTTTTTTAATTTGGATTTCTTGCATCCCATAATATTTTGTTTTTGTATTAGTGGTGCAATCATTGGACTCAAGGCAAATAAAATTTTTGATTTCTGTTGGCTTTCTTACCTTGTGATCAACATCCTGCAGTATGATGTTAATAAAAGGGAAGTAGAAAGATGAAAATCTTTAATAAAATATGAGTTAATTATCTTGCTTTAATTTATAATGCCTTTTCGCTGTCGGATTTCATATATTTAAAGAATTGAATCTTCAACCTATCTCGTTTAGTTAATGGAATTATTGTGTGGCAAATTAGATCCAAATAGGGCAAGAAAAAAATGGTGTTATAACTAATAGTCTAAAACTAATGACTCAAAAATTTGATCAGAAACCAACTTCAAATATCTATTATCTAAATTGGAGAATATGACATCCAATAATACATTGAGTTCTTATATAGCTTCTGACAACTTAACTCTTGGGAATTTGAATAATGATTTTTTTTATTGTTTTCACATTCAATTGAAGTGCACTACTAAAAATCTGATGTAATATCATAAGATGACAACAGTCAAAATCTTCTGCTGTTTCCATGTTCAGTAGTTAGAATGATGTTTTAGGTTTCATGTTGGCAATAGAAATGATTGAATCTTCAATTTACATGTATAATGGTAGGAGGGCCATACATTCTGAGAAGGATGAGCTGACTATCTTTCCTCATGTTTAATGATCTTTGTATTTCCTGACACTTTGAAGTTCCTAATTTTAGTTAAGCTATCTGAAGGAGGTACATCCTTCTGAAGATTGAGTTAAATCCATTCTAGCTGCATCTATGTGAATGTGAAAAATTATCTAACTGTCAACTAAAAAAGGCCAAAACTGATCTGCCAATTGCTCACCCATCAGATTACTCTCAATCATCAGCAAAGCAATTGAAGTTCTTGTCAATAGTAGTGTCAAACATAACTTACACAGTAATAGCCTGCTCACCAGTGCTTAGTTTGGGTTCTTCTTGGGCCATTCAGCTCCTGACTTCACTACAACGAACGAAATAGTGTGGTGAGAGTGATAGTTCTTGACATCAAGGTGCATTCACCCAAGTGTGACATCAGGAAGCCCTTATGTAATGAACATGGTGGGAATAGTGCACTGAAAATGAACACTAAAATCTATTATCCATCGAGTTAATCACCATGATGGTTAATGCCTGACTGTGATCACTATCTAAATCAAAAAAAACTCACACTATGTTTTATCAATGAATAAGGAAACTCTAAACTTAGTTATTATAACAATCTTATCTTCTAACATGTGACAAGAACAGATTATTAATTTATATTGTAAAAGACTATACACCCTTTAAATCCAAACACACATTCGCATGTAGGATGGACAGATAGATGAGACGAACAGTCCTTTCAGGAATATTTTAGGTGAAAAATGTAGACAAAAAGACACAAAGTCTGTGGATCGAAGACCAAATTGAAAGGATGGATTGAGGTGAATTTTATTGCATTTGTTTTAGTGCTTGACAATGATATCATGCTGTTATTGACTGCGGTCATCCTCAATGTGGTAGCTGGACAGTCCAACTTATGAACTTAACAATTTCTGAAGACGAGTCACTGCGCTTAAAATGTTAACTCTGCTTTCTCTCCAAAGATGCTACCAGACCTGCTGAATTTCTCCAGCAATTTCTGTTCTTTTTTGGTTTCAGATTTCCAGCAGCTGTCCTTTGTTTTGTTTCAACTTAGATTTTGACTTGAATTAGAAGCTTTCTTTCTTTTTTGTGAAGTTTTTGAGGCTTATTATTTTCTCATTAAAAAAAAGAGAATTAAAAAGAGATTTATTTTGCTGGCCATAGTTTCAACTGTTTTCTCTCCTTTCAGTGCAGTGTCAAACTAGCACTTTAAAGCAATTCAAACCCCATTGCTGGGCAGTCATTGTTTTGTTTCTAAAAGACATCTCATGCCAGTACAAAAATGTCAAAACCTAAAAGACATCTCATGCCAGTACAAAAATGTCAAAACCTAGCTTCCAGCAAAAAATATCAGTTTCATTTTTCCTTTGAGTTGTAAAAGGAAACAACTAATAATTCATTATTATCCACTGTATATTTCCTAATAAAATATGAATAGTTCTTATACTATGCTGGGAAAATTCTCCACTGCTTGGACTCATATGTAACACAAAGCAAACTGGTAGTGGTTGTTGGATGTCAATCATCTCATCCCGAGACTGTCACTGCAGGGGTTCCTCAGGTTAGCATCCTAGGCCCATCCATCTTCAGTTGTTTCATCAGTAACCCTCCATCCATCACAACATCAAAGATTAGATATTCACTGATGACTGCACAGTGTCCAGTGCCATTCCTGACTCCCCAGCTACTGATTAATTTATATCATATGAAGCAAGATCTGAACAACATTCAGTTGTGAGCTGGTAAGAGGCAAGTAACATTAAGTTCACACGATGACCATCTCCTACATAAGGCAATCAAACCACCTCTTTTAGATACTCAATGGTATCATCATAAACATCCCAGGATTTAACGTTAACCAGAAACTGAATTGGACGAGGCATATAAATACTGAAGTTACAGCAGCAAGTCAGATGCTGGGAATTATGAGGTGAATAATTAATTTCCTGAATTCCCAAAGCCTGTTCACAATCGACATGTTGTGACAAAATATTTTATACTTGCCCGGATGAGTGCAGCTCCAACAACACTCAAGAAGCTTGACAGGATCCAGGACAAAGCAGCCAACTTGCTTGGCAAGCTTTTCATCACCTTAAACATTCACTCCTTCCACGATTGACACACAGTCAAACCAGTGCATACAATTTTCATGTTGCATTGCAATAATTCACTAAGGTTCCTTCGACAGCACCTTCAAATCTGAGACCTCTACCACCTACATGGACACACAGATACATGGGAACACCATAATCAGCAAATTCCCCTCCAAGCAACACACTGTCCTACCTTAGAACTATATCACTATTCTTGCTTTGTCACTGGATTAAATCATGGAAGTCTTTTCCTAACTACATTGTCTTTACACTCAACAATAGATGGACGACACTGGCTCACAAAGGTGCTCAACCACTACCTCCTTAAGCAAATGGGCAATAAATGCTGGCCTTGCAGGCAACTGACACATCCCACAAGAGTATGAAAAATTGTATAATTGTGCATAGAATTAGTCAGAAAGTATTATGTTATTTACAATGTATATGAAGCTGTTCAGTCAAATACTTTCTTTTGTGTGGTCATCCATTTTGGTAGGAATAACAGCAAAATGGACTATGTTTTAAATGGTAAAAAATTGCAGCACGCTGCTGTGCAGAGGGATTTGGGTGTCCTTGTGCATGAATCGCTAAAAGTAGGATTGCAGGTAATTAAAAAGGCAAATGGAACTTTGTCTGCCATTGCTAGAGGGATGGAGTTTAAAAACAGGGAGGCTGTGCTGCAGCTGTATAGGGTCCTGGTGAGGCCACGCCTGGAGTACTGTGTGCAGTTTTGGTCTCCTTACTTGAGAAGAGATATACTAGCACTGGAGGGGGTGCAGAGGAGATTCACTCAGTTGATTCCAGAGTTGAGAGGGATTATACTTATTGGAATTCAGAAGAATGAGGGGAGATCTTATAGAAACATATAAGATTATGAAGGGAATAGATAAGGTGGAGGCAGGGAGGTTGTTTCCACTAGCAGGTGAAACTAGGACTAGGGGGCATAGCCTCAAAATAAAGGGAAGCAGATGTAGGACTGAGGTCAGGAGGAACTTCTTCACCCAAAGGGTTGAGAATCTGTGGAATTCCCTGCCCAGTGAAGCGGTTGAAGCTACTTCGTTGAATGTTTTTAAGGCAAGGCTAGATAAATTTTTGAACAGTAAAGGAATTAAGGGTTATGGTGAGTGGGCGGGTAAGTGCAGCTGAGTCTCAAAAAGATCAGCCATGATCTTATTAAATGGCAGGGCAGGCTCGAGGGCCCAGATGGCTTACTCCTGCTCCTAGTTCTTATGTTCTTATGTGTGATAAAATCTATCAATGTAAATTCTAAAATGACATTTTTTGGTACTGCTTTACTTATATGTTAATAAAAATGCAAATTCATCATAGTAAAACAAAGGACCACTCAGAATAGCAAAATATCTTCATTAAACAAATGCTAAAATGCAAAAAAAATACATATAAGTGGAACAGATTTTCCAGATAGTTTATAATATTCATGGAACTAACTAGAAAAAGAAATTTGAAACTGATGTGAAATGATATTCCACAAGGAGTAAATGGTATAATCAAAGACAAACTTCCTCTGTATTTAAAGCTTATTTGCAACTCAATATTCAATTCACGTGAAATATATGACAACTGCAATACTTGGATTATATTCATATCAAAGTCTGACACAATTTTACATTTGATTTCTTCTTAAGCCTTACTTATTTTGAATTATTTTTCTCTTTGTTGCCAGCTTTGATCTTGTAGTGGTTGGAGGAATCTCTGTCACACTTGTCTTTGAGCGTGCTCCTTTCATCACTGAAAATCGTACACTCTGGTTACCGTGGAACAGATTTGTTGTTGTGGATAAAGTCATCATGAAGAGAGTAGAATCTAAGCCACCTTTCTGTGATTTCCGTAGCCTTGCTACTCTGAATCCAATTGTTCTTCCTTCGCCCCTGACTACTTTTACAGGATCTTGTCCAGGCAGAGGACCAGCCATCCCAGAAATACAAGTAGGACCAGCTAATTTCAGAATCCTGATGTGTTAGAATAAGAACATGTTGTTGAAATTTGCTGGGGACAGTGTGTCATGGTTCAACATTGCAATTTTTATCAGGTTGGAGTGGTAAAGTTTGAAACATTAGGAAAATTATCAAAGAAAATATCAGTAAAATATTGTTGCCAGAGCTCAGTCTACTAATTGCTGCACAGCCTCCAAATACTTTTTGAAAGCAAATGCAAGTGGCATTTTTTATTTCCATAGTATGTAAAATTTTGAGCCAGAAAAGAATTTATAGCTTTCACACTAAAGCAAGATAGTTCTTTACCTTCATCATATAATTTGAATTCACGTCAACAGGCAATGCTGCATCGAGCAGCAGAATGACTATTTGAAAGATGCACCTGCTTGAATTCAAGAATGATAAAGCTAGAATATCTAAGCAAGCAAACAATGATCCAGCTCAAAAAATGGGTTAGTCAGCTATTTTAGAGCAAAATGTTTATACTCTGGGACCTCAGAATATTTTCGTATTGTATTCTCTTGTGGCAATTAAGAGTTTATGAATCCTTTTCTGTAAGTGCAGAGACAAAAATAGAGAGCAGCAGGATTCTGAAGCACTTCACTGCCACTGAAATAGTTTTAAAGTGAAACTTTTAGGGAATACAGCAGCAAATTTGCTCACGGCAATCCAAAAATTCAAATCAAAATGATAAATTAGCTGATGTAGTTTGTTGATGGTGGCTGAGGGATAATTGCGAGCCAAGACATCAAGCAATCTGTAACATTACCAATGGTATGTTTATGGGGTGGTGGGTGCATCAAAGATTTGATTTAATGTCCACAATAATGTCAGTTATAAAACCTCGCTATCACATTCAATATTCCCATGAATCTAAATGATGATATAGCAACTCAGAAGTTCCCATTCAAAATTAGTGCAGTGTTGACCCCTGTACAATTGTGCAAAAGAATTTAAATGGCCCAAGCACTTAAAGGAATAAGAAGACAGTGTTGTGTAAGATAATGATTCTGAAGGAGTTGAAGTGGCATGAGCTGCACTCCCTCTGATGAATGTCATACAATCTACAATCTACACTCAACTTCATAGGGAGCAGATGTCATCTGTACAGTTCCCAGTAATTACGCCTGAGCGATAATGCAGTTGTACTTATTGCTATCATGGAATAAACTATCTTGCTAACCAAGCATAGTGCTTCTTCTGTAAAGAAACTCCAGTAGTATGCATTATCACTGCTCATTAAATAGACCCTAGACAAAATGTAGGTAGAGGAGAATCGAGTGGAACATCCCGAACTCATGAGACCATGCCCACTATTATAAAAACTGTGATATCAAAAGGGCCACACAGCTTTTAGAATTTGATCAGTGCTCCAGTACAATCATTGTGGCATCAGAGCCCATTACTCCAAAATTTCGCCTCGAGACCACACTGGTGGTCATGACCCACAGTTCAGGGAGCCCTGCTAATCCCTAATTTGCTGCAGAATGCAAAGAGCCCTTACTATTTCACTTATAGTGCCTAAGCATCCTCACTGACAATGCTCCCATGATTATGGACCATGAAATATTTCCTCCTTTTGGTTACATAGTTATGAGGCATTGGCATGTGACGTAATGATTGCGACACTCTCACCTTTAAATGTTCTTGCATGACTTTGAAAACCTTAGGCATGGGACAGATCTATAGGTACGCAATAGATTCTGCCAGATATTTGTGTATGGTCCACCTACTGGACAAACAGATCCTGTTTACTTCCCTGGACGTTATCATTCCATTAGGATCCCAGAGAATCATCTGTAGTGCCTTGACTGCAATCCTAACAAGTAGGTATATGGTTCTCTGACAGATGAGTCAGTGTCCAGTTACCCACTTTCCTGATTATGAGAGCAATTGAAAAGCACCACATCCTTTCAAGAATGGAAGATGCTCCACATATTTAGATAATCTTCTTGGCTCCTATTAGTTTAATAAACCACAGCAGAAGTGAGAAGAATGTATGAAAATATCTGTTATAAATTGCTGGTTTTATACAGTGAGTAAGCGTCCTTGCCACTGCTGTACACTTGTGATTTTTGAAGATTTTGGCAGGCATACTCTGAACTGAGAGGTCCTCAGCCTGTTGACAGAATTCTGTAAAGGTATAGGCTCACCCTGTCTGGCCTCCGCTGCTGGAGGCTGTGGGGTCACTGGCAGAGGGGTGGTCGAAAGGCAGGGCATCTCTGGAGCTTTCTGAGAAGAAGCTGAGTGGAACCACTCTGTCTCATTAAGAAGGAGGGACACGAGATATAAGGTCTAGGTGCTTCATCCACCTCTTACCTTGCCATTGACCCTGAGCAGGTGTGGCTCGAGCAACACAGTGCAGGTCCAAACACAGATCCAGCAAACCCTGAGTCTTCCATTCCTGAAAGAATATGCTCCTTTCAATTGCTACAGGTTGGTACCTGTCTCATAGTCAGGAAGGTGGGTGACCAGACATTGACTCATCTGTAAGGGAACCATAAACTCTATTCATTGTGATTGGAGTCAAGGTATGATGGATTACTGTCCGCTGCACTAAGGTTTCCAAGCTGGCTGCTACCCTGTCCATGGTGACAGCAAAGTGTGCGGTGACCCCACAGTCGACAGAAGATGAAAAGACTCCTTGATCTTTCTCTCCAGTCTAATGAGGACATATGGCACACCTCCTAATGACCCCTGCCTCTCTCTCTGCAGTTTTAACTTGTCACTTATGGTCCAGTACAGAGGCACGTGTTCTAAACAGGGCTGAGCAGGTACCTGGTCTCCCCTAAGTGTCAGAGACCTTGGGCGTTTCTTCCTCCATTAGCTGTGGACATGCACCAATGATGTGCTCACTAGGTTGTGACCATATGGATATCTATGGATGTGACCATCTCTGTGCTGGTGGGAGTGATCACTTTGCCAAAGCAGACTGCTATGTTGATTATTGGATTCCTAGACTATTCCTGTCTCTCTGTCACAACTGAAGCAGTCCCAGCCAGCTCAGCCTCGTGCTCCTCAAAATATCTTTGAGGATCTTTATGTCTGTCACTCCTCTGCCAGTCTTGGTACTATCCATATAGTGGTGGGCCAGTTTTTTTCTGCAATGCATTAAAGAGAAGGATTGAATTGGATGGCAATGGGTGCAGGAAGACTTTTTAAGTGTGTCTAACCTTGTCATGCAGTGAGCTATTCCCAGTAAGTGAGTAGTAAGCATAGTGCCCAGGAAGGATTAGCAGTTTGAGAGCAAGAGGAGGGTCTGAGCCTTTGAATGCAAATCTTGGAAGCTGGCAGGCTTTAACTCTTTGTGAGCTGCCTTTGCATGGCAGAGTTAGATGCCCTTGTGAGTTTGAGCTAACAGAGAGAAGATAATGTCACTTAGTTCGGAGCACAGAATTTGATTTCTCTGCCATGGTAGCTGTATACATTTGTAGGGTCATTGGCAGTGACTCATGCTGCTATTCCAGCCTAGCCCGGACAGGTTTAATAGAATGGCCTCCTGATGCCATTGCCCTGGAAGTGGACCTCCCTTCAGTCCCTGACTCAATACAATAATATTTGCAATGAAAGATCACTACATTGAGGGGTGTGCTTCTGCTGTTTAGGAAACATTTCTTCAATGTTGAGGGAGGCCGCCATGTACTGACCAACTTGCAGCAAATTAAGTGATGTTCAACTGTCCTTTAGTCGTGGCACCAGAAACTAAGATTCTGGAATGGCCTGCCAGGTGCAATGAACTTCCTGGTCCCTTTTCACATGTGATTCACCGAGTCAGTCACCCAACATTTTGCTGCATAGACAAACGCTGAGAAGCAGGTAATTGTGCAAGAAAGCTAAACATGGGCAATGGTGGATATGATGGCATCTATGTTGCCTGCCACCATACTTTAAATGCAGAACAGAAATTATTAGCCCAATGTCTTACAGGGTGAATCTCCCTTTTCAGCTACATCAATGTGTTTTGAAGTCAATTATATGAGTAAATAAGAGTACTTTGCTGTTATTAGTCAGCACACCCACCATACTGTTTCCTGGCTGTGTGAAACGATCAATTAGTGCTAAATTAAGGGGACATTCATATTGAGTCCATGTTCTTTTTGGAACTGGACTGAGGTTGCCAAAACTAAATTTGCAAGACACATCCACAGCCGGTAAACAGGAGAGGTCCATCCCATCAGTCTTGGATGAATCTGCACCCAAATTCTTTGAACCCTTGTCTGAGAAAATGACTAACCTCGAAACAAATTACTGTGTTTCATCATTATTACAGAAGCTCTACTGTTGCATGGTACAAAACTATGCAAACTCAAAGAAATTAATGTTCTTTGGCAGGTTGTACAGGAAGAAATTGCTATCCCAGCCAGCTTTGTGAAGCTCAGTTACCTCAGCAGCAGTGCTCCTGGGTATAAATCATTATTGAGGATTATCATGACTCATGCATTTATTCCAACTGGATTAATCAAGGTTCATCTCATGATTGCTATTGAGGGACGGCTCTTTCAGAAATGGTTTCCAGCTAGACCTGACCTAGCCTACACTTTCACATGGAACAAAACAGATGTTTATGGCCAGAGGGTTTCTGGTCTCACTGAAGCAGAAGGTATGTTACCTAATGTAATACTATGCAATGCATTGCTATGAATGTAAACGAACAAAACCAATGTTATTATTTCAAATAATTTCTGTGACAAAATATTCTCTGGAAGTCCTTGGAAACTGCTGTTTTAATTTTGTTTCTGTGTGTACATGTGTTTTTGTACATACATAAACTTAAATTCATTAGTTAGTGTGGATGACAAATTATTTGACCGAATATTTAAATTGGAGTGAGAACATTAGTTCCTATTTCAGAGTTGCCTTTATGACATTATTCAGGGCAGCCACTGTTTTTAAAATTGTTAGATAGAGGACTTGACGGGGACATTTTTTTGCAATTCTTTCTCTCCTTAATAAAACTGTGATTTCACATTTGGCATTTGGTTCGCTAACCTATTTTCCAAAGTTTCTAAATACAAATCAGTTCAAAACCAGTACTGCAATCAAGTTAGTAATCTCATAACTCCAAAGTATACAACAACAAGTAACCAAAACATGACATCAGAACTAGTAAACCATTGCTCAATATTTTAACATCTTTCAAGAGAGAACTGAATTACCAAGACTAATGCAACCTCTTGGAAGCCTTAGTTTGGACTCCTGGACTGGACAAATGAGTTGATCACATTTGGGAGAATAGCTGGGAGAATGCAATTGAATTCAATCTGTCAAGGCTTAACAAGTAGCAGGAATTACTCAGGCCCTGATTTTTATTCCATGAATAGGTGCGCAGTGGAAGGAGAAATCCTGAATCTGCGAACATAACATTTGGAAATTGCTGCCGACTTAATCAGGGATTGGAGTGGGATTGTATGGTCTGCCTTGGAATTTTATTCAAGCGATCAGAGAAGACCTGACTGGGCTGCCAGTTCCTGAGGAAGATTGGGCAGAGAACATAGCCTGGACTGTGGGCAAAAATTGAAATAAAGGAATAATACATTTCTCCAGCCCTCACCCTGACAGCTCCCTCACTCCCACACTGTCCTCATGCTTCACCAATGCCAACCTTATATTTTTCTACCTTTCTCATGGCCCATTATTGTCCCTATGACAATTTACTTTGTATTTCCACCAACCTTCTTCCCCCTTCAGCTACCATGCCACTTACCTAGTTTTCACAAGTCCCATGCACGTGGGTGAAAAAAGTAATTATATTACTTAAAGTTTTTTTTATTGAAAACTGCACTGTACTGGAAAAAAAAACTCTCATTCATAGAAATTACTGGAGAAACTCAGCAGGTCAGGCAGCATCTGTGAGGAAGAAAAAGAGTTTTGGATCCTTCTACAGAACAGACCCTTCTTCAGCATCTGCAATTCTTTGTTTTTCTCTCATTTATAAATACACATTTTGACACTCCTTGACAGGTTGGACTGCTCAGAGTTCACACATCTTTTACGCACAATCATCTCCATAGTTAATGGTCCCAAAGGGAAGTTGACCACCCCTCCCCACCCAATAACCCTCCCAATGATCCCTGACTCCCACCATCAAGGTATCCTGGTACCATATCCATAAGCAGACCTTCACTCTCCAAAAGGGTATATTCGCTAACCAAAAGAAAACACTACAAACAGATCTACTCTTATGTGGTCTAATCTCCACACTCCAGCTTACAGAGGCCAGGAACTTCAAGGTCAGATTTTAGTGGATCTGATCATTTAAACGCCAGCTCCTCCGCAACACATGCTTTGGTGAACTAAGGACAATCTCACCCCCACCAAAATGAGATGCTGCTTTCTTTTAATATTGAGGGTTATACAATGATTCCCAATGTCTTCTGCCATTTTCAGACAGTTTTCCATTGCTTTAAAAATCTACCTCTGTTATTCAGTGATCCCATTGGGAGTATGCATTTCTTACATTTGGCAAAAATGATATGAGTTCACCTGTCACTCACTCCATCATCAACAGCTGATTTTCACTTTTTTGGCTCACTGGACAAGGTATTGGAGAGCAATCAATGCTTGTGGAATAGCATCCTAAGAAGAGTCAATGCCCTGAGGGAAAAAAAATTTAAAATAAAATATGGATCATCAAACCTCTTTAGACACTTTAAGTGCTCAAGGCTGTGATTTTCAGGCAATATGTTGTACCTGGACAACTGTTGATTTCCCAGAGTTTGATGAATTTATTTTATAAAAGCTTTCACAGCATTCTGATTTTTGTGAAGTCAAATTTTTGATATTTTTATCTGCCAATCATCCCAAAAATATATGATGCCATCACTTACAGTATTAAATGCATCAAATAATGCATTAAAAAAAAACTGTCCTCCTGTCCTCCTTGTATGTATTTAATAAAGGATTTGCATATGCAGGAGTATGAATGAATGATCCCCACTTTGGGGAAAATAAATGCATTTTCCAAACAAGAATGACTATGTTAATGCCAGTCCTTGAGTCTATAATCTCAGAAGGAAAAGGTTTCACTGTTCCTTTGTAATTGTTTCTCAGTTTCAGTTGGATATGAATATGAAACCTGTCCTGATTTGATTCTGTGGGAGAAAAGGACAACAATTCTACAGGGATTTGAAAAGGATGCCTCCAATCTAGGTGGTTGGTCTTTGGACAAACATCATGTATTGAACATACAAAGTGGTAAGGATCTCTAATGTGACACAAATGCTTGCTTCATTTGAATTCATCAGAATCATCTTTGCCAATTTCTCAGTATTATTAAAAGCAGTAGTATATCTTGATTCACCCCTAAGACCTGGGTTCAAATACAACCTATATCAATGAAATTATGGTCTCTACCCAACTTACAATAGTGTGTTTCAGCAGCCCCAAACCAATTCCTAATGGTTAAGGATCAAATACACAAAGCTAACTCATTATTTGCCAAACAAATGACAGTTGCACTCAGATAAACCACAGGAATTCTGGTGGAGCAAATCAATTTACGGGCCTTGTTCTGGGTTGGTGCTGATGTATGTAATTGGTGGAAGGAGTTTTACTCTGCATTTACTATTTTTACACCTACCTTTGTCATGATTGGCGCTCACATTGAGGGCAAAAGATTCAATTCCACAGCAAACACTTTGTTTTCACTGCTCAAAAAAAGAGAAACTAAGCTTCTAATATGTCAGGCATCAGGTGAACTCTATTTAGAAGCTGGAAGTGTGATCCCAACATGTTGCTTTAGAGAATAAAAGGTGTCAGAAATTATTACATAAAACAGATGTTAGGCATTTGGTTTTGTAAATAAAGGATCCAATAATATCTTGTTGGAGGTCCACTGTTCAAAGTTAGGTTGCCTTCTCAACCCAAAGAGTATCATGGGCTGTAAAGTACTTTGAGACAATATGAGGTTATGAAAAGCTCAAGTCTGCCTTTCTATCTTGCTTCTTTAAAAAAAAGCAGTGTTACAAAAAAACCCTCATTTCCACTTTATACCAGTACAGATATTGACCCATCTTGTAAAAGTCGTTATTCAACCTTAATCAACCATCTTCTTTCAACATTTTTCTGTCAACCCATTACCATTTGGAAGAAAATTTTCTTTAAAATATCACCACACAGAACATTTATAAATTTTCATTTATTTTTCCCTTAAATTACATTTATTGTCCTTGCTGGCTTCAAGTGTATACTTCTCTTAATTATCTTAAGATTTTATTTTAATATTCTGATCCTGGAGGTTCTAGCCATCCCAGACATTTACCATCACATAAGGTTACTTCCTTATTAAAGAACCACATCACTTGTGAGTCAGCTACCTTGGATAGCAAACATCGAGAATGGTTTCTTCTATTCGGACATAGTCAGTATGGTTTTGACTAATCTAAACGAATTTCTGTCAAAATCCTTGTGTTTGTAGAAAACAGAATGCAGCGAACATTCTTCACATTTTCAAAATATATTTGCTAAGACCGTGTTTTAAGATACTCTAATAATTATCTGCACAATGATTTGCAACACTAAGTTTTGGTGTTTTTGAAAGTAACATCACTCTCATTTTATCAGAAAATCCCTTAATGTATTTGAATAGAGAGATTAGAAAGTGAAAGCAGCTTCATGGGATGCGCGGGAAATTAATGATCAAAAGGCAGGCTGAGTAATAGAAATTAGACTTTTAGGAGAGGTGATGGTATCTTGGCAGTATAGAGTATATCATACAGTATAGACAATTATTTGTTTAAATTAAACAACATGACCTTCTGATGTATAATAATTTGTTCGTTATTTTTGTACAATTATGAAAGGATACAATTTACTAATTCAACTAAGGAAAGCTGATCATAACTGTTCCTTAATGTTTGCATAGGGTTGTCATGTCATAAATGTGAACATGACGTGGAATATGTAAATAAAAGGTATGAATTTAAAATAGAAATTGACTTAAGTTTGCAAACCTCAACCAATTATTTCCCATTCTCTAAGCCACTACTCTTGAAAAATAAATTGATCATGATTTGCCAAGTGCATGGCTATGGGAGATCAATTAATGAATAAAACTTGCAATTGGTTTTAGCAAAATAAGCAACAGCATAGTAAAGTACAAATCAAAGAATTAGTGAAAGTCCTAGAATATTATTCAATAGAAATTATGGTTTAATTATTTCATCACTGTAAAATTAGAACCTGGACGTTAACCCCTATCTAATATGAATGTGCTTGTCCCATTGTTGGTATGCACTGCTGAGTGATTGTTTTCAAATGCAATATCAATCTACACAAGGCAGTTTGATTCAAACTGCAGTTACCACAGCAAACTCACTAAATCACATTACTGAAAGCCATTAAGCTGTCAATACACTGTAAGCAGCGTGCAATATGGATAATAATGCACCTAGGACATGTGGAAGTGCTATTCAGCAGTCTTATGAAATTGAAATCATAATTAAAATTTGCTGATTTACCCATTGGTAGCAAAGGAGATGTTGGCTTTCCATTAGAAATGAGCTCAGCTCCAATTTCAATGCTGTCTGGCTATTCACAGGGGAGGTGATGGCCTAGTGGTGTTATTGCTAAATGTTAATCTGGAGACCTAGATAACGTTCTGGGGACGCAGGTTTGAATCCTGCCATGGCAGATGATGGCATTTGAATTCAATTTAAAAATGTCTGCAATTAAGAATCTAATGATGACCATGAATCCATTATTGATTGTCAGGAAAAACCCACCTGATTCACTAATGTCCTTTAGGGAAAGGAACTGCCATCCTTTCCTGGTCTGCCTACATGTGACCCCGTACCCACAGCAATGTGGTTGACTCTGAACTGCCCTCTGGGCAATTAGGGATGGGCAATAAATGCTGCCGAGCTAGGATGCCCTTATCCTGTTAATGAATAAAGGAAAAATCTCTCATGAAAGTAACTATATCCAACCTGCCTATTTTATGTACTACACACCGCCTATTTTATATATTACACACTGCCTATTTTATGTACTACACACTGCCTATTTTACTTTGGGCCACTTTATGGAATGCTGGTGATCTAAATATCTCCTACTGATGGAGGCTGGTCAGGGTCATTGCTATTCTGCCTTAATGCTCACTGACTGGGCCCACCTTGTTTGTTGCACACTGCTGAATGGCTGCGGTACCAGTCTCTCCCAATACTTGGTTAGGGCTGCCCTCTCCATTTCCTGACATTTTGTGTTTGTGTTTCCTGCTGAAACTGTTCACTTGTTTGAGTTTTTGGGCGTGGCACATCATGGTCGGTGGTGTTGGCTGGTGGGGAGAGTGAAACTATATTGTTCGCAATCAATTGTGTTCAATATTCGGATTCAAGCACAGGGCAAGTGACTATCTTAATGATGATGTTGAAAGACTACTGAAAAATGCAGTGATTCAAAATTTGCATCAACTCTGGTTGCATGGTTTAGTTTTCTAAGGTATGAAATTTTTCCTCCCTAAGACAGAGAGGGGTCTTATGATTGGTGTATTCAGGAGTTGTATGCTTCTGAACACCTGCAGTTGACAGCTTGCAGGGTTCACCAATGAAACTAATTAGCCTTTATTGATTTTATTCTCTCCAGCATTTTCCGTGTAAAGTAACAATTTCTTAATCTATTTAAACATTTCCATTATAATATAATAAAACATAAGAATGGAAAAAAGAACAGAACATTATTACACAACATTTTCTAATTAAACAAACGTCAGGTTTCTAAAATCATTTCAGCACAGAGGAACAAATGAGACAAAATCACTCATGCTCTTTGCTACCTCTATGTTAAAACTGACATTAATCTTTTAATGTTGTGGATAATATTCAGTATGTCCCATTTGGAATAATGAAAAATAAAATGCTGCCACTTGTGTTTTAAATTGCATGAAGACATTGGTGATGGTTAAAAGTCTGCTGCAAATGGAGGAAAAAGATCTTATTTGGTTTTGTAACTAATCCAAAGATAATTCATTTCTGACATTGAAAGAAATAACATTTATTCTTCAATTTAACCTGTACACTCTAAGGACTCTCAGACCACTTTGGATATAAACCCAATTGGTAGCATTTTAAAAACTGAAAGAACTGCGGATGCTGTAAATCAGGAACAAAAACAGAAGTTGCTGGAAAAGCTCAGCAGGTCTGGCAGCATCTGTGAAGAAAAAATCAGAGTTAATGTTTCGGGTCCCGTGACCCTTCCTCAGAACCAGTTGATTTAGAGTTGGGTTCTATTACTAAATGAAAATATAAAGTTAATATTCTCCACTATTACCACCTTTAAATATTTTGCCAGATGTTTATTCTATAGCACATTATTCTAATTGGACATGTTCCTTATAATCATCATTATAAATACTAGAGAAAAATTAAGGCATTCTTTTTGAAAAAAGAAAATTATTGCACAAAACTTGTATAGGCAAAGTTTTTGTTATATTGAAGGGTTAAAATTCAAAAGGAGCTTAAGTTTAAACAACAAGAATTTGTGAGTAAACTGGGAAATCAAATAAAATATCTGTATTTGAAGATTAATCTTGTAAATAATCACCCAGGGAACACATTGAAGGAATATGTGTAAAAGGTACATTTAATGGTATTTATTGATTAGAGGATGGAGGGATACTATGAGAAAGCAACTATCTGGTTTCAATCTGTGACAAGGGATTGGATTTTTAGTTCAACTAGTTTCCTGTTCCTATAATCCCTAGATGCTTATGCATTTGATTCTTTGTCATTTCAGTATATTACAGAAATAATTTTATTGTCTTATTTTGTGGTGGTTTTATTTTTGCACTGTGGCCACGAGGATAATTTACAATACAGTGATAAAGGGAAGGTAGAAGTATGTGGTTGCTAGTAACAGAAATTTCGGGTTCTTTTTATTAATATCAAAATTACATTAGCTTTCAGGACAACCTGGGAAGAAAGAGACTGTCTCAGTTGGCTATTTGTCCTATTCATCATGCTTCTGCTCCTCAGCTGCATCTCCCAGAGCTGGAGGCAAAGGCTGTCCCGTCACACTGGTGTTTGTATGTAGCAGTTAACCCTCAGCAAGCTGATCAAGGCTCATTCAGAACAACCCAATCAGAGAATTATCGTTTCAGGATGTCAATGTCTGTTCTGTCCCATTTTCTGTCGTAGCTTGGATCTCATTGTGTACAACCCACATGTGCACTGGCTACAAACCAGTGTCATGAATCATATCATCAGAGGATAGCCAGTAGACATCCTTTGATTTTCTACGGTGACTGAAATGCAGCTGGCACAGCTGCCGGCCACAGAATGCTGTCAGGATGCTGTGCTTTTTTTAATATGCTATCTTACAAGCTGGATATCGAGTGAATGCAATCCCTTTTTATGCAGACTGTGAGTGTGTTGACATGCAATACGCACAGTGAGATATCCACAGTTAATGGCTAATGGCTACTTGGGGAAGCCTGCAATGCAAACAAATGTTTGTGCTCCCTCTACCTGCTTGTCTCTGACAAGAGAAAAAGGAATGAAGTTGATGATTTTTGAATAGAAAGCCCCAGTGACCTACTTTACACTGCAGCTATCAACAAACTGTGAGACGTTGCTCAGATATTCAGCTCCTGCCAAGAATGATCCAGACTCACAGGCTTATTGCCACAATCAAAGTAGTCTTTGCCCTGTTCTGAGGTCAGGACTGTAGTTACAGAGTTAACAGATGTCACAGAAGTCATTCTATTGGAGTGCAGACATCTCACATAAGTTATCTCACTGATGATCAGGTATGAATATTGTTGCCTAAACCTCCTTGCTGGTTATGAATGACTGCTGAATGTTCTTCTCCCCTCTCATTCTCCTCTCACATCCAGAGACCTACACTGCATGGCCTCTACTCATTCTCAAAGTCCATTCTCTATTTCGAGAGGAAGGCACCCTGTCTGTGAGTAAACACTCAGAGTAACACCAAGTCAACAAAAAACATCTCCAGCCTCTGGCACACTATTTCCTGTAGACCTTTGCTGCATGAAACAACTATAGAAGGTGCTAAACATTTTCAAAGTCAGAGCAACGCCCCAAAGAAATTAACCTATAAACAGTTAATAATTCCTTTAGATAGTGCTGGTGGAAGTCTGTCATTCTGCTTCATGTGAATTCAGCTCTGCAAGATTATGAGAAGAAATTAGCTGGAGCATTGAGCTCCACATTGACAGCATTAGCATCAAATTATCCTGCAGACAAACATCATGATCTGTTTGCTCTGCATTCTGCCTGCAGATCTAAACTGTGCACTCACTAATGCTTAACCAATAAGGAATCTTGTGTGATTCACAGCAGAAGTAGAGCCCACATTGATGCCGTCTTGTTATTCAAATGGCGCCCTTATGTCCAAATAATAATGCTGAGCTTAATTTTGCATTCCCAGAAATCACAGGAAATTATAAAACACAAGAAAAATATCAGATCCTTTTTTTGCCTGAACTAGCTTCAGCTTCATTTTTAAGAAATAATTCAAGAGTTGCTGGTAATCTTGGGAGTTCACCTATAAAAAGAAAGTGTCTCCTCAAGAAGAGGGAAAAGGGAAAATCTGTGAATAACAATAAGAAGAATAGTTAGATAGAATAATTTAGAAATTGAATGAACCTGGAACAGGTTCTTTTCACAAGGTGGGGTGGACTGGGGGACACAGTGGAAAGGGTTTTGGATGTTGATCACTATTCTAGTTTATGTCTGATTCAAATCTGTGGTTATCACTCAACTGAAAGACCAAGGTCATACTCTAATTACAAACTACACAACCACAGCATAATATCTCTCTCAGCTTTTTCCTCCTTTCATTTTGCATTCAGGAATACTGCACAAAGGAAATGGGGAAAACCAATTTATATCCCAACAACCTCCTGTCATTACAAGCATCATGGGAAATGGTCGTCAACGGAGCGTTGCTTGTCCAAACTGCAACAGCTTGGCACACGACAATAAACTCTATGCACCAGTTGCTGTGGCATGTGGCCCAGATGGCAGTGTCTACATTGGGGACTTTAACTTTGTACGCCGGATCTTTCCATCTGGAAATGCCATAAATATTTTAGAATTGAGGTATGATGTTCTTGGACTGATTTATATGTTCGAACCTCAAACCTAAAGTTCAGCTGTTGTAAGCCTGACATTTTTAAGAGTTCACGGTCATCAGGACGGTGAATATAAAAGTAAATGCAAATTCTATGTATTTTAAATCTCCTCGTCAATTTCATGAGGTTCTTTTTTAACTCTGTACATTTGAGTGCCAATGTTATTTCCAGTTGCAGCAAGTAGTTTCTGTACAAAGAGGTATTGTGATCACTGTTTTGTTTTTGTATTTTCTTTGCCAATCATTGTCGATTTGTAGCCAGTGCAGATGTTGAAAAGGTCTGGTCATGAGCTCAAGTTCAGAATCTCCATTAAAACCGTGAAAGATATTCATACTAAAGCACAGCATGATTTCACCCAGCTTTCTGTGTACATTTTAGTCAATTTTATGTCCTTTAAATTGGTTCACAAAGCAATTAAAACCTGTTTTCTTTTTTTTTAATTCATCTTTTGACTTTGCAATTCTCAACTTGCTGCATCAGAAACCGGGACATGAGACACAGGTAAGTTGAAAATTTTAAAGGTTTTTGATTTGCAATTTTCAGATTAAAATTGCCTCCTCCCCACTCAAACCCCCCCCCCCAAAAAAAATTCATGTCTTAAAATGTTGTGCACAAATGTATTATTTAAAATTATACTTTGCCGCCCGTACAAAGACTTTTACCTTTGTTTAGCAGGGCTGAAATGCCAAAACTGGACACTTTGCCAAAAGGTACCACGTCTTCCACAAGTGTCCCCTGACTTCAGCAATATGGCCCTGGAGACTGTAATCCAGTGACAGAAACCTTTTACTCAGGGCTGTCAGAAAAAGTAATGGGTAAGGAGGGGGAGGGATTTACAGACTGTAGATCTACTGTTACAGCATTCCTGAACATCCTGCTGAATCTAATGTGGGATAGCTGTTAAATCTCCTCAATGGATTTCTCATCCAAAACTTAGCCAGATGAACCAAGTAGGAAAAGCAACCAAAAAACGGAGACAGGACTAATAGAAGAATGTGATGGGGGCTCAGATAGTCTGTGATCATGGGAACGAAATGGGGGGTGGGTTTGGGAGGGGGGCAGTGAGAGGGTGCACTGAATCAGAAATTAGTTGAGTTGGAGATTATGGCACTGTTGGTGGGATGGTAGATAGTCAGAGACAATCGTCGTTTTAAGGACCTTCAGTTAATCATGGAATATGTAAAGAGATTTGTTTGTGGGGCATGGAAAAAATGTCTACTTCCTCTTGGAAATGGCAAGGTTATGATGCTGTCACTGAACACATAATCCAGAGGCTCAGGCTAATGCTTTGAGGACAGTGCTCAAATCCCATGGTAGTAGTTGATCGAATTTAAATTTATTTAATAATATTTGGAATTAATACTAGTCTCAGGAATGGTGACCAAGGAATTATCATTGATTGGCATTTAAAAAATCCGGTTCGCAAATGTCCTACAAGGAAGGAAATTTTCTGTCATTATCTGTTCTGACATACATGTCTCACAATATCTGCCCTCTGTAATGACTTGTCAAACCACTCTGTTAAATTGTAATTAGGATCACAAATTATGTCCTTCACAGAGATGCACATGGCCATGAAAGGATTTTAAAACCAGACATTTTTCTCTTCATTTTACCTGTTGGAATTCCAACGTAAACACTTCTTCTTAAATTCAAGCCATGCAGTCCCTTTAAAAGATTTTACTAACCAACCTCCTTCTGACAAAATATTGGTCCAGAATGAATCACTTTCTGTTAGAACCAGAGATGGGTGAGTTGGAGTACTATTTTAAGATTTTAAAGACTTTATGTATTTTACCTTCCCTGACCCCATCTGTGCTTGAGGATTAAAATTCCACTCCTTGCCCCCTTTTGTCTGTGAAAAGAAATCCCCTACATGATCACAATTCAAAAGCAACTAGATACTTTAATAATAAATTGAAAAGCATAACCTTCACTTACGGAGCATTGAAGGATCAAAATTGTAATAATGCATCTGGTTGACTTTTATAGATCTATTAAACAATAATATGAGCTATGTATGTCACAAAGATACTTAAAGATTCATGTAAAATATTGTGTTGCATATTCGTGAAGTGACTAATATATGTTATTTACAGAATACATATAAAATATGACTGAGTGCATCTTTAATCATTAAGGCAAGCTCTAACACCGTATGAGTTGTGTTTGAAACTGAATACTCCACTTCAACAAGTGTGCGTGCAAAATGATGCAGTTCACAAAACAGACTGGACTCAATTCATTTAATCTGATTTTTATGTAGATGAGAAAGAGATGTATCTTAAATAGATCTTTGCAGATTGCAGAGGTATGCTTTTAGGGTGCAAAGAGAAGCAATAGTTGGAGATACTCTCTCTCCAATCAGCTACATGTGTGAAAGCAAGTAATAGTAATCCCACTGAGCTGGACAACAGATTAATGGTATTAAAGGAGAAATTTCCACTCATGATCACCTGACTCAACCTGACTGTCATGAGGTGATTAGCTGCGTCGTTCCAGGCTGGAGTGTCTTGGGTCAATCAAGGAGTTGTTCGCTAACACTGTTTCATGTGTTACTATCTCGGAGAGACTCCACTGGCTCAGGATGAAAGTACTATGGCAGTTCCCTAGAAGTCTTGTACATACATGAATTATGATCCTTTGGCACTGACAGCTTTAAAAGTTGATAAAGATTCCGAGGTGATCTGAGGGAAACTCCATTGCCTTTTGTGCAGCCCAAGCCTTACTGGACCAATAGTAAGCCAGCCAGAGTGACAAAGTCAAGCAAGCAACCACTCTCACCAGCCTCATCAATAGAGCAGTGAACTGAATTGCTAAGCCTGAGAAACATAGCATCATCTACCTGTGAATTGCAGTTGTGAGCAAGCAGATTGCGATAAAGAGTCACGGTTAGTGTGTGGCCACCTGGTCTATTTGGCAGGAAGCATATTTTTCCAGGTGGCTGCAAATATCACAGGCCATTTGTGAAACTCTGAGCCTCCTAAACTCCTGGTGCTCAGTAATAACCAGAAAACATATCCCCTTTCTGCAAACCCTTCTTTGGAATAATACCTCCCATGAACTGGAGATTCATACATATCTCCTCTATCCTGTGAAGTGGTAAATGGTTGAGGTGAAGACTACTGACGCTGCCCCCATTAATTTTGTTGTTAGCCCCTCTGAAGGACAAAGTAAACTTGTTAAGCAGCTCCTAAAGTGATCTGAAAGTTGAAGCTGAGAAATGTAGATCAAAGCGAATAAACTCCAAAGTAGTAGAAATCACCTACAAGATAAGTCCAAGAAGCCAAAGCCTTTTATCGAGGCTAAAATAATAAGTGAGAGGCTGGGAGTTGTGTGGTGAGAAATTTAGCTCTTGACTTCTCACAGACTGTCGATCATCTACAAGGCACAAATCAGGAGTGAGATGGAATTCTCCCTACCTGTCTGGATTAGTGCAGCTCCAACAATACTCAAGAAGCACAATATGATCCATTTGATTGGCACCTGATCCAGCACCATATGCATCCATTCCCTCCACCACCAATCACAGTGGTAGCAATGTATACCATCTACAAGCCACAGAGTGATTAGCAATTCTCCACAGCTCCTTCAACACCTCTAGAAGGACAGCAGCAACAGATGCATGAAACACCAAACCTGCAAGTTCCCATCTAAATCACTCACCATCCTGACGTCGAACTATATCTCTGTTCTATCATTGTCGCTGTGTCAAAATCCTGGGACTCACTCGCTAATAGCATTGTGTGTGCACCTACACCAAAGGACTGTGGGTGTTCATGGAGGAAGAATACCATGTCCTCAAGGACAATTGGGAATGGGCAATAAATGTTGGCCTAATAAGCAACACCCACATCCAGCGAATGAAATAAAAATAGAATCAAGTGTGAAATCTCAAATCTAAATCTCCCAAAATCTAACCCAACTAACCCACAAAATTGACTTGACTAGCCCCGAACTGACAACTGCTCAACAACCCACCTGCCACCTACTTCATCCCTTTGCTACCCTACCCAAGTGTCACACTACCACCTCAATTGCCTACTACCCCACCCAACATTCAGTATCACTGTCAGCAGTTCTCGTGCTAATTGGAGGGGTTTGACCCATTACAACAGATGAAGTATCCTGAATGAAGCAGGATTCTACAACTGAGAGTTACAATTCAACCTTTAAAATAAAGTTACATAGCATGGTGTAAAGGTATTTAAAATGAAGCATCTAGTTTCCACACTTCAAACTCTCGCAAACAACAGATAAATGACCACATAATCTATTTTTGTTAGTTGTTTGTTTAAGGTTAAATATTGGCCAGAGCACTAAGCAAATCTGTTTCAATGACTATGACATGATTGGTTGAGAGGACCTTGGTTTAATGCCCCAGCTGAAATATGACACTTTGAGAGAGTGGCACTCCAGTTATATTGTGTTGAAGTGTCAGCATGATTTGAACAAAGAATAAAGAACAGTACAGCACAGGAACAGGCCCTTCAGCCCACCAAGTCTGTGCTGACACATGAAATCTGTCTGAACTAAGAACCTTTTCCCTCCACATACTCTAATTACAGGCTCTAATCTCCGGACAAGGGTTTGAACACATGACCCTTTTGATTTGGAGACTAGTACTGAGCCAAGCAGCAGATTAGGTATGAATGGATACATTCCACAGTTCCTCTTGGCATGTGCACAACAGCAATGTCGCTATGAGTCGAATTAATCAAGTCCTGAACATGGGAAAGGTTACAATTCGAATCAGGCCAGATGACTGCTGAAGGGTGCACAGTTGAGACACATACATAGAAAAACTGAATTTTATGATTTTTGTTTGGCTAATTTTGAGTCACGTCAAGTTTGTTCAGGGATTCTTGCCAAAATACTGCCTGGGTTTCTTTGCCCTATCTTACCAAAATTGCTACTCTGCCTCCATGGCAATTTTCACACTCAACTTCTGCCCCATGTTACCATGCTCCATTTCTGGATGAACTCAGCCAATATCCACCAAAATACCAGCATCCCTTGCTTCTACCTTTGGAAGACCACTGCACACACTACAAGCTGCCATGTCTACTTCTGACCACTGTGAGCAGAGAGAGTTGAAAAGGAGAGGTTGGCACCACTTTTCTGCCACAGGGACCTGAAGGTCCTGGTCGATAGGTTGCCTCAGTTGAGAGAAGTCCTCCTTCTGGAGGACCAGCAGAGGACGCTACTCCCCTAGGCAGCTGTGGGACTGGCTGCAGAGAAGAAAGAAGGTCAATGACCGCCTCTGATTGCCAGGGTAAGTGCACACCCTGCCCTCTGCTACCGCACACTCACACTACCCCTGCACTGCACCCACAACCCACCTAGGCTTATGCTCTGACACCCTTTATTGGATGCACCATTTTTCCTCACTTGCTCTTATTGCCTTCCATTCCCCCACATCACTAATCCTGCATGCCTTCCATTTTGCCGTCTCACTCCTGCAGAACAACTAAACACCTTTTCTCAGAGATAGCAAGAGCTGCAGATGCTGGAGTTAGAGATAACACAGTGTGGAGCTGGAGGGACACAGCCAGCCAGGCAGCATCAGAGGAACAGGAAAACTGACGTTTTGGGTCGGGGCCCATTTCTGAAGGTGGGTCCCGACCCGAAATGTCAACCTGCCTGTTCCTCTGATGCTGCCTGGCCTGCTGTGCTCCTCCAGCTCCACAATGTGTTAAACACCTTTCCTCCACATGCAACAGCATGAACAGGCATACCACCCACTTGCATATTACTGATTTGCCTCCTTTCTGTCATTGGAGGAGGAGACATCCCATAACAAGCCAAAGTTTTGTTGAACCCTCTGGCATCACTTCATGAACACGACTGATGCACAGTGGATGGGTGTGTGCACTGAGTACCGAATACATCATGGTAAAGCAGGGGGAGTAATACACGGCATTAAGTCAGCCTCACACCTTAGGCACACTCTATTCAACATTCCCTACCATTCACGTGACTGTTTATGCAGGAATGTAGCTACCCTTGAACTCCCCAGCAGTCAGGGAGGTGCAATACACAGAGAGGGTCAATGCTGCAAATGGCCAGGAAGTTGGCATATCTGTACTGCAAGTAGTACATGAGTGTCCAGAACAATGTTATTCCCCTGTGAAAGCCCAATGGTGTATGGTTGCTGCGCCTATGGAAACAAAGGACTGACAATGATCTACTCCCTGGGCCATAGAGACAGGGATCCACTTATTAAGCCAGCCTGAGTAGACTCCTGATCATGGCAAAAACCCTGGACCAGAATGGAGGCCACATTAACTAACTCTGCAGGGCCACCCTGACTTATGTGTACAATCATGGACTTCACTGAGGACAATATCCCTAAGACTTTCAGACATGGCCAACTGTTTGCTGCAGATAGTATGTGTTTGGTGCTCATGCTGCTGGTACAGGTTTGACACTGACAAGGCACATTGCTGTATAGTAAGATGTACAAGCCCTTGATTGAGGAATACTGATTAACACAGCCACTTGCCTGGTTGTGAGATTTGGCCAATTGGCACTGATAGGCAGCCTGGCCAAAGCCATGAGCTGGGTGCCTGTACGGTAACTATAGTGAAACAGCCATGCACTGCTACTTGTCAGGTATGGTAAAATTGGAAAGAGAATATTAATGAGGTGAGTTGGGTCATCACCAAGGAGCTTAGCAAGCTTTACTCACTTTAGTTGGAAACTTGCTGCCACCTGGTAAGAAATTCGCTAGGCCACTTGAGAAAAATGTCAAAGATGGAGTGAAATGATCTCAACATTGAGATGAGCATTGCTGCACATCTCACTATAGTCCACATTGCCCATACTGCAACAGTGTATGAAAGGCAGTTAAATCCTGCTAAGCAGTGATGCAGACTGCAGTGCTAGAAGGAGTCTGTGGCATAAATACAGGCCAATGCCATCCTTCACTGCTATTGGTAATACAATGCAAACAGTTAACTGTTCTTGAAATTCTTCAAGGATCACTAGCACACCTCAACAGCAATCATCCTGCAATGCACAGAAAAACAACTGTCATAGTAAATTTTATTCTCTTTTTATGCATAAACTCGGGGAAAATTAATTTGTATTATGCACACATATACAACTCCATCTGCTTATCTCTGTATTAAAATATCTGTACTTCTATGAGTAGCTACACAGTTTTGTTCCAATTTAAAATATGCCAATGTAGTTTGAGTACTGTTGTTGAGTTCATACACTGACACAATCCAGTTAGGATGATTTACTTTAGTGAATGCTGGTTTTTACATCAAGCATAAAGATCATGGTAAACAAGGTGACAATCATTAATGTTTGTCTGTAAGAGATTTTCTTGTTCTTTCATGTGACAAAGTGACAGATTTCTTGTAGGGCAAGATGCATAGCTTCCATCAGGCAGACAGCTTGATGCCAGCTGAAAAGCTAGCAAAATTTATTAAAAGTACAGCTGGTGGAGCAAGTGCTTGTGCCCAGTGGGACACAAAGCAGACACCACATCAGTGTTTAACCAACCAAATTCAGTCTTGCTATCTGTCAAGCATTTAAGGAGAAGGACGCATAAATTGCCACTTGTGTCATTCAGCAACAAGGCTGGTCGCAGTTGTTCGTCATTCGTTGGCAGCAAAAATGGCACAGAATTGGTGTTTCATCAGTGGCATCAGCTGCTGGCTGATAGGTTTTGAAAGATTTTTCAGAGAGTCTCTGAACAGGCAACAGCGACATGGCAGATGGTCAACCACACACAAGGGCATTGTGCACGAGACATAGAACCTTTCGACTATTATATTATAGGACCACAGCTCATAGCTTCACATGTGCGCTAAAATTTCTGTATGAGCTCACTTTAACGCTATAATTTACAAAGATAATAAAGAATCGTTTCTGTGCTGACACCCTAACGTGAGGTAGTGAAATAAATGAATTAGTCATGTCTAATTTGTTAGTCAGTTCATTTCTTTATTCAAGTGGTTCATGTTGCTTGTCCTGTTTCCAAAGAGGAAATTTTTATTCAAACCATGAAAACTTCCCAGAATGGTTTATGTGTTATTATATTGCAAAGGTTATACATTATTTAGTAAGAGTGGAAAAGAGAAGTTAATGTACCCCATGGTCACATTCACAAGTTCTAGGTTTGGTTATCATGGCAGTCTTTTTATTTTTTGAAGGATGTGTCTAAAATGTATTTCTGGTAAATGTAATGATAGTGGACAAGTCACATTGACTTAAAGAACAGTACAAATTGAAAATCTCAAAGATATCAATGCAGTGATGTTAGAACGCAGCTGCCTCTTAACATTGCCGGATTTAACAATGAAATTTGCAAACTTTTTAACCTCTTGTCTACTTTTTTAATATGATACAGATCTACAAAGCACATGGAAATAGAAGGTAATTCTCTAATTTTTGACATGCTTTACTTTTTGATTCAGCCACAGTCCTGCTCACAAGTATTACCTAGCCGTGGACCCTGTTTCCGGATTGCTTTACCTGTCGGATACCAGCAGCAGGAAAGTGTACAGAGTGAAATCACTTATTCAAACTAAGGACATCCTAAGGAATTCTCTGGTCGTGGCTGGAACCGGAGATCAATGTCTCCCATTTGATCAGAATCATTGTGGAGATGGGGGCAAAGCATTTGAAGCCTCTCTCACCAGTCCCAGAGGTAAAGCATATTCTCAGTTCAGCATCCTTCTATTAGCATCCTTCCATTGGTAAAATGATAGACATGCACAAACTTATTGAGCATGAGAGAGTTTTCTATCGTGCACATCTGTTGGTGAGTGAAGAGGCCAATACCTGAGTGACAAGTTCTTCCACAAAGTACTGCATTTATGGTGAATATCAGGTGTCATTGTGGGTTGCTGTTTTTGGTATTGCCATCTGTTGTCAAGCTGCTATAGCCCGCCAATTGTCTTGGTGGTTCATGCTCACTCACAGATGAAGTTGCCATTTTCCTTTGTCATCAGCTTGCCCTTAAATCCAATGTTTAGGGTCTTACGGTCATGCTCGCAATTGTCCTGGAACCGGAGCCCTGGGCATCCTTCTGGTTTTCTGGCTCTGGCTACCTTACCATACAAGAAATCCTTGGAAATTTAACCTCTACTATCAGAAATACGTAAGGATATTTTGCTCACCAGTCTGGAAACATGATCTACAGCAAAGTATTCAGAAAATAAGCTGCGCAAAATAATCACGTACTAAATATTCAGGAACAGGTTGCACAAGAAGTAATTTGTAGTACAGTGCAGAATTGATCTATATCACGTGCATAGAGTATGTCTCCAAATAAAAACATTTTATAAACACAATCTAGAAATTCCATTATGTGATGTTAGCACATGAGTGAACATGTTTTATATGAAATTCAGTTATTTTAATGAAGGTACTTACTTATTTGACAGGGATGAGTTTCTTTGTGACAAGACTAGATTGCAGAAAGTTGATCCAAATGCATTTTGCATCCATACAGTTTTGGAGAAAATACGGGTGAATTGCTTCAGAGCACATCATCTTCATAACACTGGCGGGAGGCTTGATTAGTTTTCATGACCATTGATGAAGTGAGTTGCCAGAATCGCCCAAAGGCAACTCACCATTCAGGAGAGCAGGAAGTTTTTTGATCAATCATTAATCATGTACTTGCAGCAACAGATTTCAGTAACATTTCTGTAACTCTAACAGTGTCAAGTAATAATGTAAAGGTTGAAGACTCAGAAAGGACAAGAGAATATAGAATAAAAGGAATGCTTCCAGCCTAGGGTTCGTCGGTGTGGTAGGTAACTAGAAGTAGCAATGATTTAGAATCATAGATTCCCCACAGCGCGGAAGCAGGCCATTCAGCCCATTGAGTCCACACTACTCCTCTGAAGAACATCCCAGATCCAACCTCTATCCTGTCCCTATCACCCTGCATTTCCAGTTCTGAGGAAGAGTCACTCGACTCAAATATTAATTTTGATTTCTCTCCACATATGTTGCCAGACCTGTTGAGCTTTTCCAGCAATTTCTATTTTTGTCTCTGATTTGCAGCATCCTCAGTTCTTTTGGTTTTTGACCTTACCTTTCCCATGGCTAACCCACCTAGCCTGCACATCCCTGAACACTATGGGCAATTTAGCTTGGACAATCCACCAGATCTGCACATCTTTGGACTGTGAGAGGAAACCGGAGCACCCAAAGGAAACCCACACAGACATGAGGAGAATGCACAAACTCCACACAGACAGTAGTCTGAGGCTGGAATCAAACTTTGGTCCCTAGTGCTGTGAGATAACTACTGATCCACCGTGCTGCCCTAGGCAGAAATTTTAGGCAGATTTATGGCAGAAACAACACTGAGACAATATCATTTCACCCCAATTCCCAGCCGAATATATATTCAACTCACAATATGATATGAATGTTATTTTTTTTCAATCTTTAAAAAAAAATAAACGAAACAATTTTAAAAATGTATTTACTAAAATAAAATATTTAACAACAACAATATAGTTCCTTTAAATGCAATAATAACGGTCCAAAAAATTTCATAGGAGTGTTATCAAACAAAATTTGAGACTATGTCATATGAAGAGAAATGAGGACAGAAGATCCAGAGGTCTGGTCAAAGAAGTAGGTTTTAAGAGCTATTTATATGAAGACTGTGGGATAGAGAGACAAAGGGGTGTAGGGAGATGAATTGCTGGTCTCAGAGCCTAGATAACTGAAGACGTGCCGACTAATGGCCATGCTTAATGTCAGGGCACATATAATAAAATTTGTCATCATTTGATCAGCATTAATGAAACTAACGACTTTCTTCTTTCTTCCAACGTATATTCAATTAACCTAAATGGCATTTTTCTCTTTCTGTCTGGTTATCTTCTCACTTTCCATTTGCTTGATTTTGTTCATTAACATCCCTAGCCACATCAATCCTGAACTTTGACTGCTAACTCACTTAATGGTCAGGACTGACTGATTGATTAGTCTTAAACGAAAACCCTGGCTCTGCAGTGGATTCTGTGTTTCAGAAAGATTTTGTTTCTTTGTGACATTTCCTTTCAATTCAGGCTTTCACCATGGATCTTAGGAGGAACTTGAAATACAGGGCATTTATCATGGTCTTCCTAGACTTGTCTTTCAAGCAAATGATATAAACTGACAGAGTCTTTCAAGAATCTTCATCAGATATATCATTACACTTGTCTCTTTCCAATAACTTCAAACGCTTCCTTCTCCCTATTTTCTTGTTTTTTTAACCATGATCTTATGATCAGTACTGTACTCTCTAAGTTTCATACCTCATGTACCATGACTCATCTTCACTTTGTCTTGTTTTTCTTTTCCTTTGCTATTGTTGCAAGTTTCATCAAACTTAATTTTGTCCAATGACTGTGTTTAAATATTAACCCATAAGGTGTGCAACCTATTGTAGACTGTTCTATGAGAAAATATAAAATTGTCAACCCTATGTTAACAGAAAACATGGGAGTTGCTACCCAGCTTATCATCTGGGAAATAATGCTGCGAAGATCTATTCATAATCTGTAACCTGTTCTTGCAGCACCATTTAATGTTCGGTAAAATCATGATACTAGAGAGTGTTTCATTCCATTTTTACTCTAGAAATAGTTTAGATTGTTCTCCGGTATACTGTGAACCACTATCTGACACATAAAACTCTGGCTACCCTCAAATTACAAACCAAGTTCTAAAAACCTCAATAATTTTGCCACTTTTGCTATTCAACATAGATTCAACAATTATCCACCTGTAATAGCTAAATCAACTTTTCCTTCTACTTCAAAAGCAATCAGCTTGTGCTCGTTCCCATAGTTTTCTTATTTTTGACCATGGAATGAAAGGCACCTTAGTTGGACCATTTGTCATCCTGAGTCACATCAAACTTACATGCATCTGGGGACTTCCAGGCTCCTGAACTAGTTTTAGATCTAAAGCAACTTTGAGTGGTGCTTAACCACTGTGGCATTTTCCCAGATGACCACTTGTAGTACCTTGTGACCTTTAAGCTTTACAATCCTGTGTAGATGCAGTTATTAGAACATCTTCAATCTCTTTTGAGATTTCTGGCTATGACACTGCTGACTGAACTCTGATTGGACAATTGGCAATGCTAAAGTGTCCCTGACATATTCTTTCCAATGTATCTTTGCAAAAGGAAGCTTGAGTGAATACTCCTTTGCCAAACACTGTTGAATAAGACATGAGTATGAAATTCTGATGGTTCCCAATCTATGCGTTCTGGCCGAACCCGCCAAATTTTTGGTCTGACCATCCTTCAACACAATATTGGAAACTGGCAGCACAGTTGTGGTAACTTCTTTGTTTTTGTTGGATTTATTCCAGGAAGTCCAATGAAATCTTCTACCACTTACCCTTGAGCAGTTGATTGCCAATGGTTTGTTTCTGGACCAGTGGTTTGATAATTGTTTTCTCTGTTGCTGTCTGGAAGTTAGTCGAACTCCTACTATTCTCCACATAAAAACTTGATGTTCTGCCATGAGTTCAGACTCAAATGTGAAGCTAGTTGTGTGAATAAGTTATACATTCTTAACTTACTTATGCATGTTCAGTTGCAGTGTAACTTGTAGTGGGGACGTATAGATGTTTAATGGTTATCATGTCAATGATACCACCTAAGTTACTGACTCTTGGACTGTGAACATGGCTGCTGTGGCCTAAGTCCTACTGAAATGTTTATATCTGCACATATATCAGTGGATCTCCTGTGATATTGCTTGTCAAAAAATTGAGCATGCACTTTTATAAGAACATATAGTTACTGCATAAGTAGGAAATGCCTTTTTTTTGCAACTGTACAGAAGCTATGGAAAGTGTCAAAATATCAAAGTTTTGTTCGTATTTGTTTCTGTACAAGGACTGTACAGAACTGATCTAGAACACTTTGTAATGGTATTTTAATCATAAAAATCATTTCTATTTTTGAAATTTAAAAAGTCTGGAGAGAGTGGCCTGTAGCCATTGCCACAGTGAAGCCGTCTGGAAAGAGTCACCCACAGTAGAGGTGGCTTGGTGGCTCAGTAGTTAGCACTGCTGCCTCACAGTGCCAGGGACCCGGGTTCAGTTCCACCCCCAGGTGACTTTCTGTGTGGAGTTTGCACATTCTCCCCACGTTTGCGTGGGTTTCCTCTGGGTGCTTCAGTTTCCTCCCACAGTCCAAAGATTGGCCATGCTAAATTGCCCGTAGTGTTCAGGGATGTGTGGGTTATAAAGGGATAGGTCTGGGTGGGATGTCTCAAGGGTCATTGTGGACTTGTTGGGCCAAAGGGCCTGTTTCCACACTGTAGGGATTCTAAATCCATTGGACCTCCACTATTGGCTTAAGAAAATAACTCCCTGTATTTATCTCTCTTTAGTATTTCCATGCACTCATTAGCTTATTGTTTTACTGAAAAGCTTGCTGTGATTTTTCTTGTTCATTAGGAATCCTTTAAAAGTGTTTCGTAGGTTGTTTTCTGAGGTTAGCCCACACCCACAATGGCAAAAGAATTTCTTTAATTCCAGAATGTAAGTTGCTACCATCTCACTTGGTAACTCCTTCCTGTAACTGATAATAATTTGCAGTGCAATTTCATTTTTAGTCATGCCATGAGTCCGGAATCTATTAATTTCAGCATATTCTAGAGCACTAGGGTCTCTGGAACAATGTTGGTTAGACACTATATCAAAAACCATCTGGCCCCATCATGGTGAGGAAAGCATTGACTTTACCCTTATCTTCTATTTTATGCAGCCAAATGTGAAACCTTCATTTGTAATTACACCAGTTCACCTTGTGAAAGTTGAAGTTTTCCACTTGTCACAAATATGTCTTTTGTGGCATTTTGTTTTATTCACTTACAAAACATGCTGAATCTCTCAGTTGTACGTGAGTATGATGTGTACAAAGAGCAACTTTCAAAATGCTCAAACTTCCTCAAATCAGATTTTGGAGTTTCAAAAAAGACTGTCAAATTGTTCTTCAGTCCTAATTACCCAAATTAAAATTTAAAACTAATTCTACTATCGCCTTGTCACCATCTTTCTGTTGTCTAATGTACTGAGAAAACACCCACTATATACACTCACAGCAGGTAGGCATTATTGCACTAATTTTATTAACATGTCTCCCAACAGAAACAGAGGGGGCAGCAGAAAGGCAGCTGTACAATTACTTTTCTGATGAAGGGTCTAGGCCCGAAACGTCAGCCTCTCTGCTCCTATGATGCTGCTTGGCCTGCTGTGTTCATCCAGCCCTGCACCTTGTTGTCTCGGATTCTCCAGCATCTGCAGTTCCTACTATCTCTGTACAATGTATACTACATTTATAGAAATGGGATAGTGTATTACCCACATTAACAATTTTTTTAATGATTCGATGTAACATTCATCCGTCCAAGAGATAACATAGATGTTCTGTCATTGATTTTAAATAGGCTGGTGCCTTAGGTAATATACAGAGAAATGTTATAATGGCTTTTGAATTGTTTATCCAGTCACATCACCAGAACTAATCACCAAGCCCATATCCTTTGTAAATTAATGTTTAAAAGCACACTATGCAAAATTATTACCTCAAATAAAAGTAAGTATATACAGCAAAGCCAACTTGGTTGGGGGAACAATAGCCTAGAAATTGGATCATGCTGTGTCCATTTTAAAAGCATGTACGCTTTTGAATTACAAATCTTCATTTCAGTCTTCTTGAGCTGAGTCCAAATTCACGTTAAAATACAATTGATTTATATACATTTATTTCACACAAGTCTCTTGATTAAAATCTCATACAGCATTTTTAAGAGTGATTCTCATGTAATTTTATATTTCTGAGCTGTGGTATACATGACAGAATGGCCCTAATGATGTAGGTGCAGCTGACTGAACCTTCAATCATCCTGCTTTCAGCTTTTGAACTTGCTAAATTATGCTTTTTTGATCCAGAGAGTGCAAGTGGATGATTAGACAGACCCTTGACAATTCAGTCTATGTTCGTTTTATAAAAGCAAAATCAACGTGAATGCTGGAAAGCAGAAACAGACACAGAGAATGCTTGAGGAACTCCGGTAGCATCTGTGAATAATGAATCAGAGCTGAAACAGTCATATTGGACTTGAAAGGTTAACTCCAGTTCTTTCTCACAGATGCTACCAGACCAACTGTATGTTCATGTTATGTTTCTTTGGGATACTGGCGTCTACTTGTACGTTTTAACACATTCTCCTCATTTCTTCTAACATTCTGTGAAATTCCTCTGCCATCAATGGCTTGGTTAAAACAGTAGAGGTACAAATCTCATATGCCTGCATCATTACATTCATCATTAATATTCTGCTGTATAGGTTCACCTTTTAATGTGTGAAAAGAAGAATTAAATTGGAATTCATCCAATGCACTTTGATTCATTTGCTTAATCTGTTCTTTGAACATCAACATGGCTGCTTGAGGAGAGTCATTATTCAAAGTGCAATCCTGGAGTTCTCTGACCATTGACCATTCAGTTTGTTTCAGGCTCAGTGCTAACTGATTGTGGAACAGAACATTGTGTTCTTGCTTACTGTAGCGAGGACTCTCCTTCCTGATATTTAAAATACAGCAAATCAAATACATATACACAGTTTGATAATTAACACATGAAAATGAATAGTTTACACTGTGAATTTGCAATTATTTGGATTATAAAACAAGTTGCTCATTGTACTAGCAATAAAAACATCAGCGGAAATCCATTCGTATTTCTCTACCTGATACTTACAGTAAAGCAAACAATGCCTTTCTAATTTTAAGTCAAGCAGTGAGGTTTCCAGCTGTTGCATTCAGGTAAATTCGCAGTCATACTCCTATTCTTATTATCCTAAGGCATAGGATGTTGATGACTGAATGGTAATGCTCAACATGAGAATTCCTTTTCTTTCTGGAAGAACATGTATCATAGATTATACAGGGTATTAGCCACATTATGCTTCCCAAGTGTTTGATTAACCCCATATAACTCGTTGCAGTCGTGAGTGATGCCCACTGCATTGTTAACCGGGAATACTCATTTTGCTGGCGAGATTTGATAAGTGAGATTATTTCCATCAGAATAAAATTCAGCTATCTTTATGATACAGTATTCCAATTTCTTGATATTGCCACTCAATCTATAATTATGCTTTTCATTTCCAATTTGTTTTTCAACTATTACCAATCAGATTATATGCTTTTCCACTCAGGAAAATCAAAAGTTAAGAACAAACACAACAACTGTGAAAGTCTTCAGAGGAGCTTGCTCTTGTGCTGCTGCTGTAATAATTGTTAGATATTGTTAGATGTTAATAATTGTTAGATAATAATTGTATTGTCAGATTGTTAGAGACTCCTCATTGAATGTTATTGCTGTCCTACTGGCCAGGATGATAACAAAGTCAATAACCATTTTTACGAGCATTGCTGAAGCAAAATTTCGATCAAATTGATGAAAAATATGTCATTCTACAAGAGTGGGATACTTGAAGTAAAGAGACTGGAGAAGAGGCACAGCTGAAAAGGCTAGTTGGGTGTTAGTGCTTAAAACGTTTAAATCAACCTGTGTAATGTTAGCGACAAATACATTAACAGAAATAGAATCAGAAAATGCTGGAAATAACGGTTCAGGCAGCCTCGGTTAGAAACAGTGTTAACAATTTGGGTCGTTGACTTTTTGTCTGAATTGGATGCTATGCGACCTATTAATTGTCTCTAGCATGTTCTGTTTGTATTTCAGTTTTCTTCAAACATTTGGGGGCAGCACTTTGGCACAGCAGTTAACTCAGTTGCCTCACAGGCCAGAGACCTGGGTTCAATTCCACCCTCGGATGACTGTCTGTGTGGAGTTTGCACATTCTCCCTGTGTCCGCATGGGTTTCCTCTGGGTACTCCAGTTTCCTCCCACAGTGCAAATATGTGCAGGTTAGGTGGATTCACCAAGATATATTGCCCTGCTGGGTGGATTAGCCTCGGCAAATGCAGGTTACGGTGACAGTGTGGGGGTCTAGCCTGGATGCTGTTCAGGGGTCAGTGCAGACCCAACAGGCCAGTTGACGTCTATCTGCACTGTCGGAATTCAATGAGGTAATGTTATATTGACCTTGAAACATTAACTCTGTTCCTTTCTCCATAGCTACTGCCAGATCTGCTGACTTTCTCCAGCATTTTCTGTGTTTGCTCAATTACCTGCTCTTTCCATCATCTTCTCTGCCACTTCTCAGGAGAGGGAAGTTCCAATCAGCATCTCAATTTAATGTCTCTTTGAGAATGTTTTATCCTGTACAGTGCAGTGCTCCCTCTGCACCACTTATACATGTCAGTTTAAATTATATGCTTTATCCCTGGAATGGAACATGATCCACAATTCCCTTATTTACATATGAGATTGATATCATTGAGAATGGCTGATGGAACCAGACAAATAGAATGCTGTGAAGAAAATGAAAAAAATAAGCTAATTATTTTGAATCTAAATGTGGTACATACAATCTCCAAATGTTTAAGGTTCAATATTGGCAATTACTCTTGATCTACTATGTATGTGACCAAGTGGTGTTGAAAAAGTAGGTTGGCTATTGAATAGTTTGTATTTTCATCAAAATACAGATTTAAAATTTCAGTTTCTGGAATAAAATAAACATAAAGTTCAGAAATAGATCAAGATGGAGGAAAACTATTGAGTGTTATGTCAAATTTGTCACGTATAGGTTTTATTAGGAGCAAAATACTTAAAAGCATTTTCTGCAAAAATTAAAGTAGGAAATGACTGTGAATGAGAGCAGTTGTCAGCATTGAAAATGCAGTTTTGTAACCTGTATTTGTACTTGCCTGCAATTAGGAATAATTCATGTTTATCCAAAACACACTTGTAGTATTGTACAGTGTGGATAATTAAATCTAATTATGGTTTGGAAATTGCCACTGTCTCTTGTGCAATGTTGATATGGACAGCAAGTTGGATAGCATATTTAATTAACTTGCAGCAATTTTACTAATTCTTCGTATTACTGCTACTTACACTTACCCTATCTCTAAGCTGTGCTGTTTTTGACATGGAAGTGTTTAATCGGAGCAGTTATAACTCTTGCTTACCCAGTGAGTATTTGGCAGTGTAGAGAAAGCTTCCCTTGGTTTAGAGATAACTGTAACCTGATTCTGAACTTTCCAAATTCAAAATGCATTCCAAAGGCTTGAATACAGATCTAGGCTGACACTGAAATGCAGTACTGTGGGAAATGCCCTGTCAGCTAGTTCTTACCTCTTAGACAGACACAAAAGCACGTTCAAGTTCCCCTGGTATGCTGACAACATTTGTTCCTCAACTAACCCAACACAAAGAAAGTGGCTATAGATCTACCTCATTGCTGTTTGTGGCATCTTGATGTGTGCAAATCAGCTGCCAATTTTCCTCCAATACTATATTGTGTGAGTATGTAATTAACTTTGAGGATCTTTTGGATGCCCTGCAATCTTGAATGGTATTATATAAATGAAGTTATTTATATCTTTTCCAACTACTTCAGTGTTTTTTTAATATCTTTGCACTGTCTTTTCCAAATAGGCATTGCCGTTGATAAGTATGGATTCATCTTCTTTGTGGATGGAACCACCATACGAAAGATTGATCAGGATAGTGTGATCACAACCATAATTGGCTCCAATGGCCTAACGTCAACACAACCTTTGAGCTGCGACTCAGTCATGGATATATCCCAGGTAATTATAGAGGCTTTTTTCCCAGGATGGAAAGGTCAACTACAGGGGGCACAGATTCAAGGTGAGAGGGGGAAAGTTTAGGGGAGAAGTGCAGGGAAAATTTTTCACACAGAGGGTAGTGGGTGCCTGGAACGCACTGTCAGTGGAGGTGATGGAAGCAGGCAGGTTAGCAATGTTTAGGACATATCTTGATAGACACATGAACAGGAGGTGAACAGAGGAATAGAAAAGGCATATGGGCAATAAGTAGCAGGTCTAAATAAGGATTAAAAATTGGTGCAGCCTTGGTGGACAAAAGAGCCTGTTGCTGGGTGTATTGTTCTCTGTTCTTGGTAAATTCTGAGGCATTGTACAAAATAGAGCAAGATCATAGACCTAGAATTGTCAGTCTGTAAACATTATGAGGTGCAATTAAGAAGGCCAAGTCTAACTTGAAATTGGGCCTCAGACATTATTAATGCTGTATGCCTGTGCTGTCAGCACCTGTGACACATTTACTTCATAAATTAAGGTCTGGTAGTCTCAATAGGGACAGCCAAAGGTAAGTCACAGAATGAGATAGGAAACAAGAACAGAAGATTCCTGAAATACTGATTGGAATTCTGGAATTATGGCCATGATTGGCCATATCTGTGGGGAAAGAAACAATGTTGACATTTCAGATCGATGATGTTTCATCAGAACTGCTGGAGATGGAACAAGTTTAAAGCAAGTACAGACACAGAGAAAGAGGGGATAGAGGACAAGAATAAACGGAAAGTTTTTATAAGATGGAAAACAGGAGAGATTACATGACAAAAGAAGTGATGATACAAGGCAAAAGGAAAGTGGTAATGGAACAAATGAAAAATGAAAGATATGGCCAGAAGAGGTAGAAGCGAGCAACAGCAGAAGACAGGAAGGTGCAGATGGCAGAATCATGATCAATGCGTAGTTTTGGGAGCAGTGATACTGCTCCTGGTTTCATTGAAAGATTACAAATAGATATTTCTCCAAAACTCAGAACTTACTGAAGAATTGTAATGTTTGCTCTAATCACCATTGTCCAATTTCTGAAAATGAATGTGAAAAAACCTTATAAGGTCACACAGATAAAAAGCATGGAAATAGACCCTTTAGTCCAACCAGTCCATGCCGAATATAAATCCCAAACTAGTACCCCCTGCCTGGTCCAATCCCATATCCCTCCTATTCATGTACTTATTGGAATGGCTTTTAAACGTTATAATCGTACTCACAACCATCACTTTCTCAGGCAGTTCATTCCACATGTGAACCACTGTCTGTGTAAAAAAAATTGCCCCTCATATCTTTTTTAAATATCTCTCCTCTCACCTTAAAAACTCTTGCCTTCATGTAAATATTTAAGATACATATTGCAAATGGCCACCAGCAGACTGCTGAAATTTCCCAATTTCCAGTCACATGTTATTTTTAGGTATCCATGAATGGAATACCAGAGGCTTCAAATTCCAGATCAAAAGCTTAGGCTAGAATTTTACAGCTGTGGGAAGATATGGAATGTTGAATTGGACACTGTACAAGTGGTGCTATTTCTGGTGGCTATCCTGTTGGACGATAACCTGGTGTCGTGTGATTTCTGACCTTATCCACACCTGCTGTGATTTTATCAGTGGTATGGAAGGCTTCAATGGCTTGCCTTGGGAAAATTTATCTCTTAAGTGGCTCCCCACATTGCCTCTAGGATATTGTGCACAGCAAGAGAGGCCAACACCTGGTGACCAGGATTCCAGATAAAATTTGGCAAACTTTGGTCCCCGGCTTGGTGGGGAGAAATGGTGCTCTTTGGGCATCCTATGTCCATGTCAACCCACCCCCATTTCCTCCTTGCCTCTTTTATGAGTTTTCCACTGACAGAGGGAACAAGTCTAAGCATTACACCATTATAAAACAGTTAAGGGATGCTAGTTTCATAGACTCTGAATTTTAAAAAATCTACCAAAATTTTTTAAAAACTTTAAACCCCCTGAAGTCATTGCTACTAGCTTAAATAACTACCATTTCTCATCTGTCAGCCTTTCTGAAGAAAATATGAACAGTAAAGCTATGTGCAATGTGTTAAGTGAAAACTGATGAATTAATCAAAAAACATTACCTTGATCCTTACTGTCCATCAAAATCGGAACCTATAACACTGAAGTGTGAGGTGAGAGTCGTACTGCTGTGTACAGTTAGAAATGTTAATGAGATTATGGTAAATTGCATAAAGAAGTTCCATATAGAGTAATGTGCAGCTATAGGAATAAATCATATTAGACAAGAGCAGGTCTCCTCAGGGCATAGTCAAAGAATGTATTGTAATCTTTGATATTTAGGTTTTCAATGTATTTTATGGTATTTTTATTTGTTTTAGTCTTGCTTTTTGGTTGCTTACAATCCAGTTAGCTTCCTTTCATTGCGCTGAAGTAAAAGTAGTGCAAAGGTTGTTGTGCACAGTTGTTTTATCAAGAAATTCAGCAGGAGCTTTGTCTGCTTTCTCTGTGTTGAGGAGAGTTAATTAACATTTTTTATCTGAGAGGAATTTCTTTAAAATGCGAACATGGCTACACCAGGGAAATAGTTAGGGAAGGAATTTTAATGCTGGTCAATGGTGTGAAACAGACAATGTGAAATAAGCTGCTACAAGTGTAGTGGGCAAAATAATGCAACATGCCCAACTTTTGTTTCCTTAAATTCACGAGAAGGAAAAATGGTTTGAGATATATAATAGACGGCAAATCCAATATCACCCATTTTTAAATAATCATTAATGGATAATTGTTTTAATTGTGAGCTTTTATTTTCTTTTTTATTGTTTTGTATTCTGTATTCAAAGTGTTACAAAACTGATACTTCCTATAAAACAGTGGAAAATTTTGCTAGTTGAATTAGTTAGAGGAAATCTCCAACCTGATTTCATCTTGCTGAGTATTCTTTTCTTTCTGTGAGTCATTTGTCTCTTTTTGCTGGGGTGTGATTCAACATGACACCTGTAGCTTGACAAACTCAATACAGCAACACACTCAAGAACTATCTAGAGTACATTATTTGGAGCAATCAAGTGCAGAGTGCTTAAGCATGGGTCACTAATGTCAGGAAGAAGGTTTCAGTCCCTGAGGTGTTATGGCCTGGAATATATTGCCCAAAATAATAATAGGACCGGCTTCAACAATAGCCTTCAAAGGGAATTAGATAAAAACTTTTTTCAGATTTTTTTAAAATCAGGGCAAAAGGGGAAAAGTGGACGACTGGGAAAAATTGGCTTGCCATTCCAAACAGCTGGTGGAAACACAATGGACCAAATTGCATTGTGTTGTATGGTTCTATCATTGCCTGGTTGAGATCAGCTAACTCAGCACAGCCTGCGATTGAAACTGGGGCTTTACTGGTCTATAGTGCTAGTATAAATTAATTTAACTGGTGCGTAATTTCACAATGCTGGTGATTAAATGTAACTTTTCATGTGTCAAGTATATGCTGAAATCTATCATCTTTGAGTGATGTATTATTGGCTTTCGAACTGTAGCCAGAAAAACCAGAAGCACTAAGTGAATTCACTTATGTTAAAGTGACTTGAATTACAAACATCTTTTGGCAGGCTACCAACCACAATGAATGCATAATCTTACTAGCCACGAGAGAAAACAGTGAATAGCTACTAGAGGGGCAGGTGTCAAGTTGAATATGGGAAGGAATTGATTTTTCTAACACTTGCATTGATTTGTAGTAATTCTCCTGTTTAGGATCCAAAAAAGCTTTTTGATGAGGATAACTGTCTTCAAAATCTTCAAATTGGCCAAGTCTATAACGCTTGATTGAAAATTCAATACTTTGTCTATACTTAGTCAGTTAATCTCCATCAGAGCAAGGGTGGGGCCCTACAACTATAGTAACAGTGTGTGCTGGAGTAGAGGAGGATAAGTCAGCTTGGGTTCCTATCCTGAACAGCATCCAGTACTCCTACTGCAAAGTTTGCACGTGTAGGATGAACTTTCACAGTGATAGCTCATTTCATTTATTGCTAGTGTCAGTTACTAAAATCAGGTGTGATAAATAGTTTTATGAACAAAGTACTATGTACTCCCAATACATATGCCAACATGAACCAGCTTGAGTGACTACCTCAATGAAGGAGAAAAACTGGTAGTTCATTCAAAGACCAACACAGTATGACACTATTTCATTTCATTCACTCTGATTTGAAGGCAGAATATCTAAAATTAGTTATGGAGTAATTTTGACTTCAGATAATAGTGTATAAGACATGATATCAAATTGCCTACCCTTTAAATAGCTCTCCTGATTCTTGTTTCCAAAAACTGAATACTATCAATAACTACGCGCTTCCTCTCAAACTTTGCCAATTGCAAAGTTGCAATTGCATTTTAAATGACATAAGAATTGTATGTGCCTCTACAAAGGAGTGAGAAATGTACTGAAGATAGAGAAGTTGTAGATACTTGTTCAGAGAGTAATGGTAATTTGGTGGGGTGGAATACTCCATGGAGGTTTCAAGGAATCTGCCCTAGAAGCCCTCTTGTTCTAGGTTCGGAGCAGAATCCTTCAACTGAAAACTGGATGTAAAACTGTCAAAGTGACAGCAAGATGGAGTTATGGAACCTACAAATACTTAGTATAAGTTACTGTGGCAACAGCTGATGGAGACGTTAAATGGAGAGATGGGTATCAGTGGAATCATAACTCACTATGTCAAGTAACTGAGAAATGGCAATTACCAAAGTAAAAAGGCTGCTGAACAGACCATAAGATATAGGAGCAGAAGGCGGCCATTGATCTCATCAAGTTTGCTCTACTGTTCAGTGAGATCATGGCTGAGTTGATAATCCTCAACTCCACTTATCTGTCTTTTCCTCAGAACCTTTGATTCCTTTACTGATTAAAACTCTGTCTCAGCCTTGAGCATACTTAATCATCCAGCATCAATAATCCTAGAGTCATGCAGTCATGCAGCACGGAAACAAATCCTTTGGTCCAACTCA